TTATTAATATTTATAATGTAATATATGTATATAAATGGTACATGAATGTCAGATATACATATATAATCAGATATCTATATCAACTATTTATAGATTTTTGTCTCCTTCAGATAAATATTGTCCCCATATAGATATATTTATAGATATATATATATACTATTTGTAGATAAATAAATAAATAAATAAATATATATATATAAAATATATGTACCATAAAATATCACTATATATATATATTTATCACTATTTATAGATTATTGTCCCATTTAGACCTCCACTATCCTCTATTTATAGAAAATTTCCCATTGCTACATTTGAGTAGCAGAAGGTTTTTTAAACGATCCAATTTTGCCAATGCGAAATCTCTCTGCACGAAAGGGCCCTAACCGACCTCTGCATGTTGTTTGTCAGATCCTCATCTGGCTGGTGGTTGACCTACCCCTCTGAAAAATGATGGACGAATCGTCAGTTGGGATGACGAAATTCCCAATTTGATGGGAAAGTCATAATCCAGCCATGTTCCAGTCACCACCAACCAGTCATTTTTTGGGTTTGTGTACTCATGTCTGCAGGTTATCAAAGCTGGGAAGGCCAGTCTGTCACCCCTCAGGGTCGATTTCTTGATGATTTTCCCATGCACAGCAGGGTGGATTCGATGATGTGCCACATGTTGATTCTCATTTATGAGAATAGCTATTTGAGTTTTAAATAGTATGTCCTCTTAAACATGGGTTCATAACATAACCCTCATTTGAGCCATTTGAAATAGTTGACGTGTTACTATAGGGTGTTATTCACCTGTTTTAATTGAGCTCATTATCGACATATCATAAGCCAGAATGGGGGTGGCTCAACATTGTGGCCCAAAAGTTCCAATACCACCATATTGTCTTTCAGGGCTCAACCCCATTTTTGGTGGAATTTATGACCGCCTCCCTTACGAAACCATGTTCGAAACCACTATTCCGTGTGGGAAGCTTATGGAAATAGAGGTACCATCATTGGGAGTCCCACAAATTCCATGGACATTTTGAATTTCGGACTGCACTTCACAGGTACAATCGAGGCTATTTTCCCAGATTCACTCAAAAAGTGGTCATTTTCATATTTCAATCAGGTGAACACCGCCATTTCGACCGGAAAATGCACACCATCTCCGCTTCTCCAAGCATCTGCTGCAACTCCAAAGCCTTCCTGAGAGGTCACTTCTTGGGGTTTTCTTACAAGCTGTGGCCCCAGTGAATCGCGTTCAGTTGGCACAACTATGTTGGCAGCAATAGTGTATCTAATAGTTTTGTTAGTGTATAGAAGTTAGTAAACATAGATAAACATAGATAAACATATATAGATAAACGATAAATATCGATTAGTTACTAGTTCACCCAAGATCTAATAACCCCCACTATGTTATATTTAGATGGGGCCCAAGCAGCAAACAGACGTCACTGTGGGGGCGCAATCTTGCAAAGATGGACAAGTAAATCAGCATTAAATCAGCATGAAATCACCTTTCATTTGGGGTTTCTTAAAACTGAACATTGATCATCTTACTGGTGCTTAGCAGGGAATGGATGTAATCATATTTGATCATGTATAATCATTGAAATAAAGTGGATTATTTAGCTCATATATTGAATAGTCATTGATTATATATGATAATATATTTGATAATACCTAGTTTATATTAATCATATATCTGGAATTCAATGTATAATCATTGATCATCTTACTGGTGCGCTTTACGCAGGGAATGGATGGGTTGCTGGGGGTTGCTGGGATGATTATTACTAGTGATGAAATGGATCATTCCCTCATTCCCTACGTTTAGCACCAGTCAGTCATTGGCCAGACTTGAAAAAACGATTCAAAAGGATATCATTGGGACATGATATGATGTCTGGATCCAGACATGGGGAATACCGGCCACGGAAGACCTGGTTTTACATGTCGTATTTCAATAGGGAATCAGTGAATAGGCCATGGGGTAACCCCGACTTTCTGACCAAATTTTAATCCACGATCCAAATAGTCGGGAAAACCTGTGTAATCTTGGAATGGACCATCTCTGATTACCCTCTGGTAAACTAACAGTTCGCTATTGAAAATGGTGATTTGTAGTGGATTTACCCATTAAACATGATGGATTCTTCCATAGTTACGTACACGTTTACCAGATGGTAAATATATCATTAACCATATCACCATGGAAATTAACATAGACCCTGAAAATAGCCATTGTTTAGTTGAAACTAATCTTCCAACCCCTATCTGCCAGGGTCTACGTTAGCTTACCAGAGGGTAAATCTTCCTTTGGGGAAACTACTGTTGAATCTTCCAAGAGACATGATGGACGTAGTTCTTAGTGTCTTAGTGGAAACTCTACAGGCTTGTGCCTATTTTTTGATGAGGAAACCAAACGATTTTTTGGTTTAGATTTTTGGTTTAGAGTAGGAACAAACATAGCTGAAAGCGAATAACTTTAAATAACAATCAAAATAGACTGGTCATAGTTCACACATAAATATACAAAGGATGGCCAATAACATATGCACAAACCCAAAGATCGTGGGGAATGAACTTTCTTCATGAATAGAAAAGAAATAGCAAAGTAACACCTGCACAATGAGGCCTCTTCAGCTGTAAATTGCTTTATAAAGCCAACTAGAGAGATGTCCAGCATAAAGATCAGAAAGTCCCCTGCTACTTGTGAGCAACTTACCTCTCATAAATGAAGTACAACCACTTCAGAATCAGCATATCACTATGTTTTTGATAGGAGATCATCCACTAAAAAAAAGTGGTCATCAATCTCGATCTGGACCCTCACCCCCAGTTGGGGATCCATCAATCCCATTCGAATCTCATGAACAACTCCCTCTGAAAATCCATGAACATCAAACATCATATTCTCTACTCACTAGGTTTGATTCTAGGATTGCACTAACCGGACCTACTCATATTTCAACTACACCACAAAAGGGATCAGCGCCCAGCTCATATTTTTTTCATCTGGAGAAACAGGCACAGGTGCCCGGTGGGTGGGAACAACAAACACACCTTGCAGGTGTCTATGCACACAAGCAGCACCAATCTTGCTGCTGCTATATCAACAAGCTCTACAGGCACTATAACAAGCATTCTACACAAACGCGATCTGTCCACACAGCAATTGCCATGCCCAAGGAATATCAATACTTTACATCCTAGAACAAGACCATTGACAGAGAAGGGTTGTCTATGCCCAAGCCCAACCAAACCGAAGACAACCACCCTGATGATTGATCTGGGTAAATTATAATATTTCACTAACCAGCGAACCTGAATTAAGGTCATTTTGGGATGATTCCCCTATAAAAACAATGATGCCAGGGTTCGGTCGCGGTGAGGTCGTTATCATTTACCCAGATTGATTTGGAGGTTTCCTAAAATAAGGCGTGCCCCCAAATCATCCGTTTTAATGGTGTTGTCCATTATAAACCATCCAGCTATTGGGGTACCTTCATTTTTGGAAACCCCCATTTGATGATTGATGGGCAACTGCGTCCCCTCTGGTTCTCCACTTCGTCCCAGCGACTCTTTTGTCAATTCCTCAAACTCTTCCGCCTCGCTGCTATCTCTGCCTGTGTGGAAGTTTCTGGTTTCTGGCAGTACCTACTTGGGGATGCAACCCAGGTTTATCCTAAGTTGCGTAGATAGCTTGGCTAATAGCCCATATCTAACGTATATTTCACGTGGTATCATATGGTCATTCTCCACTTACGATTCATGGCACATCCCGGCGCAGCAGGGAACATCCATGGCCAGAATTTTCAGGTCATGAATCATGGTGAATCTGTGGAAATTTTACCGGGCGAACCTGAACGGTGCCAGACATCACCAGACATCAACAGCTTTCTGAATCATGGTGAGTGCCAGTTCTGCTTGTCGCAGTTCTGCTCAGTTTGGAACCCGGAATTCATATATTCATGGGAGAATCCTCTGACTTGGTATCCACTGGTGCAGGATTATGAATAAAGTACAGTCTGGTTGGTGGTTGAACCCTACCCTAATGGTTAATATACTGTTAATAATGGTTAATGATGATGGTTAATGATGGTTGATAACATTTTCTGGTTGGTGGTTGAGCCCTACCCCTCTGAAAAATGATGGAGTGAAAGTCAGTTGGGATTATGAAATTCCCAAGCGAATGGAAAATCATGAAATTGATGTTCCAAAGCACCAACCAGACAGTATCCGTCAGAAATGAAAACACAAGACAATTTTGGAACCCTTATCAGGGTATCCATTAATCAAACATCATCAAACACGGCTGGAAAGTCCACGATGTTCGATGATTTTCCCTATTAAAAAAACACCTCCATTTGCTGGGATTTCCCCAGCACTGGGTGCCAGACAACTGTGAGATTCTGAGTCGTGTGAGTCGTGATCAGTCACATCAGTTTCCTCAGTTCGGTGAACAACGGGAGCGGGTATCCTATCCTGAAATCCTGGGGAAATCTTCATGGTTCCATGACTTTTTTTTTGTTCTGACCGCGTGATTAGTATGTTATGTATGCAACATGTTTTTGCTGGTGAACTAGCCACGGATCGCCCGCAAGTAGCTGGATGCCAACATCCCAGTTGTGGATAAACATTATATCCCATAAAGTTAGAACCAGGGTGAACTAACCGTAAAAAAAAAACCTGGGACAACCGTGGGTAGTTCGCCACCGCCACGGATCGCATGAAAACATGCTAGCCCTAACTAAAGATTGGTTCAAAAACACCATGGTTTTTACAAAGATTGCCATTGGATTCCGTACAGCCCATGTTCAGACAAACCCATGGGAAGGTATCTGCAGGTTACCCGGCCTGGTAAACATACAAAAAACTATGGAAAATCACCATTTTCAATGGGTAAATCCACTATTTCTATGGCCATTTTCAATAGCTACGTAACAAATTACCAGAGGGTATCAGTCAGGGTCCTCTGAAGAGACGAAGTTGTCGATTTGGCGACACGCTTAATTTTTATCTGGCTGGAGAAGAGCAAAAAAAACAATCTCATGATTTCAGATTTCGGATTTGACAATTTCATGGCTGGTTGGTGGTATACCTACCCCTCTGAAAAATATGAGTTCGTCAGTTGGGGCTATTATTCCCAATATATGGGAAAAACATGTTCCAAACCACCAACCAGATATACTAATATACATCATTTACCCATTGCAAAATATTAGTCAATGGGAAGGATGACATCCCATATATGAAATGGAAAATAAAACATGTTCCAAACCACCAACCAGTTATTGTTATATTGTATTATGTCCTATCCATTATTATTATCCATTATCATCCATTATTTTCGATTATTAACCATTATTATATACTATTACCAGTATGTGGGAAAAACCATGATAAACCACCCATGACTGGGAATGGTTATACCACCAACCAGACGGGGATGATGTATATCCGGGATATCTCAGAATTCATCAGCGGTGACTATGGCACTATGGGAAGATCCCCATTCGAGCGATAGCGTTCAGTTGCCGAAGAAAAAACTGGCTGAAAAAACTATGGTTTTTGATAAATAGAACTATAGGTAATGAGGGTTATAATGGTTATATGGATGGTTAATGACATCTATATGGATGGTTTATGTATATGTTTATGGTAGATAGAACGAACTATATAAATAATGGGGGTTGTAATGGGGTTTTATGGTATATAAACCAACGTTCACATCACTGGGGGGCCCCCATCCTGTATACATCATCAGTGTTTTATTCGTGTAGACATGGATACTCCCTAACCTGGAAAGCATTTCACGTGGTCGCGAAAACTTTTGCCAAGCACATTCCAATGTCTGGTGTTGATCAACATTTCCGATCTAAAACTGGAATTTACCTGGATTTTGGATATATAACTTGATCATCCATTTCCATTTTTCATCTGTTACCAAATTCCTGCCTTCAGCGATCGTAGGATTCTGTATTTTTTTCCGAGTGACAGTCGCACATTTTGGTGACGAAGCTGCACTGGTGACTCCTTGGTGATGCAAAATGGCGACTTCACCAACAAAAAACAACTGGGAAACATGGTGGACCCCATGGATGATTTTCCCGCAAGAAAAGAAGGCGGGACTCTGCCTTCTTAAGCAATGGATTGAAGTGATTAAAAACCCATCGGTGGAGGACTTGTGATTTAAGCATTGACAACTTGAGATTCACCCAGCAATGGAGACCTTGGGGACCTGAAACGACGTGCGGATGATTGAAGTCTATGGATCACCTTCGAGAAGGAAGCATTTCTTTTTTTGCTCCATGGTGCTGGACTATTTACCACCATTTACCCTCTGGTAAGCGTTTACAGAACTATGGGAAATCACCATTTTATAGCTGGGTAAATCAACTATTTCTATGACCATTTTCAAGTTCGCGAACTGTAAACGTTTACCAGCATCTACCCCATTTCCATGACCCTTTGTTTTGGTCAATCATCTAAGCACCATGGAGATTTCTCCAGGAGATTTCACCCAGATTTCACTGAAAAACCATTGCCATGTGCCGCGGGTCAGAGAAATGGTGGGAACTGCAATTCGGTCCCATTTCTGGTTGATATCCCTTTTTGGAGCCAGAAATGTCCATAGAAATAGTGGATTTACCCATTAAAAATGGTGGATCTTTCCATAGTATGGATATACCAATGGCCATAGAAAGTTCGTGAATTTTCCCCCGAAAAATAAGGTGGATCTTTCCAGTTCGCAAACTGTAACAAATTACCAGAGGGTAGTTGATATATCCCTATCTATGGAGCCAGAAATGTGGTCCTGACATGTCCATTGAACTGATTACTGATGAAAAACATGATGTAAAACTGTGAAAAGGGATCCCAAAATTCAAATGAGCAATTTAGATCCATGTCATCTTTTCCAGGTTTCAAACGCTTCTATTTTTGGTGTTCCTTTGGTCCAGCATACCCTTCAAAAAACAACCGTTTGCTATAGAAATGACCGATTCGTAGATGATTTACCTACTACCATCTGGTTATGACTAACATAGCCATGGAAGCCATGGCCGATTTATAGATGGTTTACCTATTAAAAATGGTGGATCTTTCCATGGCGAACTGTTCAATAACCAGATGGTAAACATGCTGATTTAACGAAACGCCTGGAGGGACGTCCCAGGTAGTCATGGGCTGACGTCAGTGGGGTCCCAATTCCAATGATCACCATCGTCATTTTATGCATCTATCTACCATTTTTCCAATCTGTCATGATAGTTGCCAATAATAATAATGTTGATTATCCCATTGTCAACATCTATCTATCCTGGTTGGTGGTTTTAACCATCTTGAAAAATATTAGTCAATGGGAAGGATGACATCCCATATATTATGGAAAAAACAATGTTTGAAATCACCAACCAGTATGTCATTTGAACATGTTTTTTCCCAATCAAGATGCATGAACTCCCCCAAACTTTGGGGGAGTGAACTCACCACTTTTGGACAAACCAGGTCTTGTTGATGTAACTCGTGATGTGTCGTGAGGATTTCAGGTGAAAAAGGGCGAAAGCCCGCCCATCAAGAAGGTCGAACAGATTCCAAACGTAAATCACCATCAGAATATATATATATAAAATACACATATATATATATATATATTAACCTACTGGGGTAAACTATCAAGTACTATTCTGATATATATATAAATTATAATACATATATATGTATATATATATATCAGAATAGTACTTGGTAATTTACCCCAATAGGTTCTTTATTTCACTTTGTAGGAGAAGTAAGGTGTTCTGCGTCCAGTTTTTTCGCGCTGAACAAACGTTATTTCACTGGGCTTCACGGGTTCACCTTACGTCCTGCAACGTAATTCTGCCGGTTTCTATTGCATTGCCAATCATAGATACCCTGCAAAAAGAATAACAATTGTTAGCATTTGTTCGTAGATATTCCTACTTTTTTTCCGACTGAAATCGCAAAAGATTCCATTCCAAAAACCCAATCCAGTTGCAGGATGGGGCCCCCAGTTGTGTTTGTTGGTTTACAAACCATTGTAAACCCCCATGAACTAGTTTAGTTAAGCCATAGACATTAACATTAACATTAACCATAAACCATTGTAACCCCCATCTTCCATAAACCATAGTTAAGCCACTTTTCTAAGGCAACTGAACGATATCTTGGGGGCCCAATCCTCTATTCTCCAAGTGGCGAGACTGAAGTCTGGTCTGGTTCTCGTCGGCTTCAAAAAGGCTTATTTGCTTCTTCCCCTGTGCGGTGACTGGGCCACCAGCAGCAACCGGGAGAAAAGCTATGGAAAATGAAGGAAACATCTGATTCTGAAATACTCTGTATGATTTCTAGTAGATATAGATATATTCATAGTTAGATGATGAATAGTTCCACCAAATAGCAACCAACTCTAGCCAAATTGGAATAGATAACTAACCAACCCCAAATAGGATATTTTTTTTGGATATGTACACTTTTTAGGGACATAACCAACCTGGCATGATGAGGAGATACTGGGATATAAACAATTTGGCTAAATCATAATTCGTCGGCCTAAGATCAAATGTTTTGCTGGTTGGTGGTGCAATAACCATCTTGAAAAATATGAGTTCGTCAGTTGGGATGATTATTCCCAATATATGGGAAAATAAAAGCCATGTTCCAAATCACCAACCAGCAATGGAATTAATTGCAACTATCCCCAGTTTTTCAATGGCAACTTTCCCCATTCTTCATGCTTTTCCATAACTGAATCACCAGACATTTAACCATAATCACTATTATCAACCATCATTAACCATTGTTTGTCATTTTTTGGGACTGTTCATGACATGACAACCATCAGTGTCTCGTGACGTCGCAGTTCGTTAGTTTGTTGACCCAGGCTTGAACCTTGCCCCACATCTCCGACGGGAATGGATCAATGAAACCGGACTCAGGGACCATCAGGGGTTCAAACATCAACTTTCCCTTCATCAATCTTTGGATTCGGGAATTCACTTGCTTTTACCCTCTGGTAAACTAACATAACTATGGAAAATCACCATTTTTAATGGGAAAACTCACTATAAATGGCCATTTTCAATAGCTATGTTAAATTACCCGAGGGTAATTCATGATATCGGAATTGTTTGTTTTAAGCGGCTCAGGTCCGAATGATTCAACCATCTGGGATCCTTGAAACCAAGGAGTTTTTGTTGCATGAAATGACCATATGACTGGGGGAATGTTCCCATTGACCAACTATTTCAGGGTACCATCCGGGTGCCAGGGTTTTGAACTTACCCTCTGGTAAATTAACATAGACCCTGGCAGATAGGGGTTGGAAGACTAGTTTCCATTACAAATTGGCTATTTTCAGGGTCTATGTTTATTTACCAGAGGGTATAACTTATAGCCATATCATGTTTTGTCATTCCCAGAAAACATCATCTTCTTGTTGGGTTTTCCACACCCTGGTTGGATCTGAAAAACCACCGCTTTTTTAACGTCGGTAAAAATTGAAGCATCGCAGCCCCAAAGAAGTAGAAAACAACACCACTCAAATAATCTGGGTAAATTCTAATATTTCACTAACCTGAAATAAGGTTATTTTGGGATAATTCCCCTTATTGACTATGATTCCAGGGTTCGGTCGCAGTGAGGTCGTTATAATTTAACCAGAATAAATCATCATAAATTACTATAAATTATCATGGATTATCATAAATTAGCATAGGTTATCAATGATTGTTTTCCAGCACCATGGATCCTATGGGTAATGGCAAATTCGTTTTCTATCCCTCAAAACAAGTGTGGGATTCCCAGGAGTTCCCAAGTCATCGATAACTTGGATGATGCTACCGGGGGTACCGGGGTACCGCCATGACTTAGGAAACCTCCTTTTTTTGGGGGTTGCTATCAATTGGTTCATCTGAAAATATCTAAAAACTGGAGTGTGATGGTTGATCATCATCTTACCCTTGAAAAAGTGGCCATTTTGACGGCATCCTAGGGTAAACGTTCACATAGATGTGGAAAACCCATGGGAAAACACCAGGAAAATCGTCTACAAATGGTTGATTTTCCACATCGATGTAAACGTTTTTTTGGGTCTCCCGCACTAAACGAAGGTTTCATAACCCCGCACCGCCATCGTCACGAAGTGGTGCTCATAACCTGGAACCAGAGTTCAGTTTCTCCAGATGTGGAGTTTCAGTTTATAATGGTGATAGATGGTTTATAATATGTGGAGTTTCATACCAAATGTATGTTTATTATCCAGGATTAGTATGGTATTGCATAGTACATCTGTGTATCTAGAAAAAGTATGGGGCCCCGGAAACGAGCGATAGCGTTCAGTTGCCGAAGAGAAAAGTGGCTGAAACAACTACGGTTTATGCTAGACAGAACGGACTATACCCTCTGGTAATTTAACATAGCTATGGAAAATCACAATTTTTAATGGGAAAATCCACTATTTCTATGGCCATTTTCAATAGCTTTTTGTAGGTTTACCAGAGGGTAATGGGGCTTTTGTTATGGTTTTTAAAAAGCAACGTTCACATCACTGGGAGGCTCCATCCTGTACCGATGATTCTGAAATCTGATTGGAATTCCCGAAGGAAATTGATTGAGTATGAAATCATGATTTTTTACACCAACAAACATGGGCACATATTATGTGGATATCATACATTAATATCATGATATCCCCAACATGTTAATATTAAACACCAATTGGATAATATGTGCCCAATATGTAAACTAAGCTGGGCACATATTGAGGATATCATACATGAAAATGGGACAAAGCCTGGAGTCTCGTCCGACTTATTTAATGAGTGGTTAGTAAGTCCGGGGGTCCCATGGGGTGATCCGCCATCAACCCATGAGCACAACGGGCCCTGAGCGTCATTCGAAAAGCCATCAATTGCTGCTTGCAACATGATTTGGGCAACCTAAGGTCCAACTATTTGAAGTTCATCAGGTTTTCCACAGGAAGGGACGGAAAAAATGTGGTCATTGCCCGTGTAGTATGATATCTCTGAATAGCAAGCAGCCACAATCATCCAATTTTCTAGGACAATCAATGAGGCATTTTTCATTTGGGTTCGCAGATAATTGGAAAAGCACTTCCAACTGAAGTCACTCTCCTAGATGTTGCCAGAATTCCCGATTCGTGCTGATTGTCTCTGGGGAATATCTCTTGCTACATCTCAGTTTCAAGGAATTGGAACCCATCCACCCACACACACAAATACAGACCGCGAAATGCTGGCGAAGTCTGGCAGCATCGAAGCTTTGTAGTAAAATGGGTGGTTAATAAACAGTTCTCAACCTGGGATATATGGTCAATATTCCATAATATGGTCAGTTCTCAACATTGATCAATAAGTAATATGACAGCATGGGATGTTAATAACATGGGGTATCCATGGGGTATCCGTTCCAGTGACCTTGCGAGGTCTTTTTTGATCGAATTGAGTAAAAAACCATCCATTGATATCGGATGATATTCCATTAGATTCCCATTGATATCCTATATTTTCACTGGTTGGTGGTATACCTACCCCTCTTAAAAATCTGAAAGTCAGTTGGGATTTTTATTCCCAATATATGGAAAAATGTTCCAAACCACCAACCAGTTCATATATGTTCATATATATGTTCATATGTTATCACCCATATATTTTAATGTATGAATCCTCCATTCATATATGTTCATATATATGTTCATATGTTATCACATATTTTTAATGTATGAATCCTCATGATTTTTTTTGGGGACATCCCCATTTTTGATGCTTCAAACCCCAGTAAAACACGTCATGGAGGGCTCGTCGACCCACGGCTCCACTTGTGATGGAGAAAGATGCAAATTATCCAAATTCTAGGGGCATATTATAGTATATTATAGTTGATGATTATAGTATATCATGATAATGGTTCATTATGATATGATATATCCATCGTTATCCATCAATCTGATGAGTTACTATCATATTCCATCAATTTGATGCTTATCTGGGGGTGGTTTGAACCCCTCTGAAAAATATGAGTTCGCCAGTTGGGATCATTATTCCCAATATATGGGAAAATTAAAGCCCTGTTCCAAACCACCAAACAGTTATAGTTATATTATATTATGTAATATCCATTATTATTATCCATTATTATCCATTTTTAATCATTATTATATACTATTACCAGTATTGATTTAATGGAATGTTAATGGTTTAAGTGATTTTGATTGAAACCACGATACCCTGGATTTATCCTTCATGGTTTCTGAATTTTCACCTCATTTTCCGAAGAATTACCCTCTGGTCAAAGTTTACAGTTCGCTATTGAAACTGGCCATAGAAATAGTTGATTTACCTATGAAAATGGTGGATCTTTCCATAGTTTTTGGTATGTTTACCAGGGGGTACCATGAAATTATGCGACATCCTGCGTTTTCAGAAACATGCCACCATGAAAAATGTGCTTGGATGGTCGATGGGCCCTCGAATGAAAATTAAGTGGTTGGTAACTGGCTACAAAAAAACTTGCCAGACAATGGCTGGTTGGTGGTTTTAACCATCTTGAAAAATATGAGTTCGCCAATGGGAAGGATGACATCCCACATACTATGAACAATAAAAGTCATGTTTGAAACCACCAAGCAGATAGTATATTATAGTTGATGATTATAGTATATATCATGATAACGGTTCATTATGATATGATATATCCATCAGTTTGATGAGTTAAATTAGAGTTCCATGGAAGATCACCCAGTTCCTATACCCTCTGGTAAACTAACATAGCTATGGAAGCCATGGCCCATAGAAATAGATGGTTTACCGAACTTAAACATGGTGGATCTTTCCATAGTTTTCTGTAAATGTTTGCCAGAGGGTAACTAATCCATATCCCATCCATATCACATGGCATTCTCAGACCCAGTAGATGATCTGCACCTGTGATCTTCGCGTCATCGCGTGGTATGAGAAGTCCGTTGACCATTGCCATTGCTGTCCTGAAAAATCGACCAGAAATTCATATGGATTCACAGGCTTCAACCCAAGTATTTTTTTCAGCAGTTGCAGTACAACGAACAGTTCATCATGTTCATCCCTATGGTGAAGCATAGTTAATATCCACTTATAACTTACAAATGCCATCAAAATCCCACTATATGGTGATGTTTGGTTCTTCAGTAACAGTGAAAAAAGGAACTGCACTTCCTTGCGTGCGATGATCCTCCAAGTCATCAAGTGACGTGAGCAAGTAGGCACCAAGTGAAGTTGCGTCGCTCACTTTTGGGGGTTGGAAAAGTTCGTGAAACGTTCGAGAATTTGAGGGGAATGCCTTGGGATTGGGAAACTTTCGGAGGAACTTGACAGCAACTTTCCTAGAAAAAAAACCGGCAGAACTTCGTACGATTTAAGTTTGGACACTTCGTAATTTTAGGCAGCAAGGGTTGCTGCCAAACCCTCAACCTCGCGGTTTGACTTCTCTACGGTCTCATCTTTGGAGCAATCTTGGAGCCATCTCCCTACAAAATAACTTCAATCTCGATGACTGAACGTCTGGCCCTACCTCAAGAAACATCGTTTGTGCCGCTCCGAGCCCTATGTATTGCCTGTTGAATCCCTATTTTGCTCGCGAAAAAACTCAATTTGTCTAGATCTCCAGAAAAAATGGTGAAATCTCACTTTGTCATATTTTAATCTCCATTTATTTGGTGAAATCTCAGCTTGTCGCAAAAAAAACTCACATTCTTGAAGGTTATCCTTCGGTAATCAAACATGGCAAGCCGGAAAATCCCCATTCTTAGATCATTTTCCCAGCTACAAACCTAAAAATAACCATGTTTCTGGGTACATTATAATAATTCACTAACCTGAAATAAGGCCCATTTCCTTCCCAAAAGAGCCCGCGTCCAGCAGCAGCGGAACGCGAGCTCAGTGTCCACGGCACTCAGCCCATTGGCCGGCAACAGGTAGTACAACAATCAGCTTCGCTGATAAACCCACTAATGCCTAGTCTTCGATGCCCTCCTTGAGTATTTGAACGTATCGCAAAGCGCAATCCAGTCATATTCTTTCATTGGTTGTTGTCTGGGCTGCAACCATTCAGGCTTGAATGGGCAGTCATATGATTGTCTCCCTTTCACATGTTTTTGCACAAAGTCTGCCACCATATCTTGGAAAGGAAATTGAGGTCTAGGTGACATACCACTGACACTTTGTCCGAAACCCTGTATGTACAACGCAGTTTGGAGTCCACCTGAAATAAGGCCATTTGGGGATGATTCCCCTTACTAACCATGATTCCAGGGTTCGGGAGAACAGCGAGGTCGTGATGAAATTTACCCAGATGTTTGATTACCAGAAGGTAACTACCCAAGTCGCTTCTTCCATGATATATTTTCTTTATTCCCATTGTCAAAAATCGGTGGATGTTCCCATTGTAGTCCCATCATTATATAACTATCCAATTATTTTGATTATCTGATTACCAGCTTTATACTATTTTCCCATGCTATTTCCATCATATTCCCATCATTGTATTTTTATTCATTATTATCAAATTTCTGATTGTCCCATTGTACACAAAATATATCATTATAGTTCCATTGTATTCCCATATTACCATCATTACTATCTTATATATATACATACATATTCCTATTATATTCTCATTATATTCCCATCATTACTGGTTGGTGGTTTCAACCCCTCTGAAACATGAAAGTCCCAATATATGGAAAGTCATAAAAGCCATGTTCCAAACCACCAACCAGTTATAATTTATAAATGTATTCTAGCTACCATTTTTTCCATCTGTCATGATAGTTGATAATAGTAAAATTGCCATGGTTCCAAACCACCAATCAGATCTATATTCCCATCATACTATGATTCCCATTGTGATTCTCCTATCTTTGATGGTTCTCCAGTAAACGAACAGTTCGCTATGGAAGCCATGGCCCATTGCGAAATCGTTGATTTACCGAACGAAGAAATGGTGATTTTCCATAGCCATGTAAACGTTTACCAGAGGCTATTCCCATAATGCCATCATTTCTATCATTATATATTACCATCATTGTATATTGCCATCATTACATTCCCACTATTTTTTGAATCTGATGTTATATTCCCATTATATTCCCATGTTCTTCAACAAACAACATAATAAACTCACAATTAAAAAAATAATCCAAAACTCAAATATCCCATGATATTCTCATATTGCCACCATTATATATTGCCATCCCTTCATTACCATCACTATATTATTATCCCAATATGGATGGTTACCCTCTTGTTATTTAACATAGCCATGGAAGCCATGACCCATTTATAGATGATTTCCCCAGCTAGAAACCTCCATTTAGAAGGGATTTTCCATGGCTATGTTAGTCATAACCAGATGGTTTAAATAATATGTATACCCATCACCAGGATTTATGGGTAACTATTCCAGCACCATGGTTCGCATATGGGTATGATTATCCCAATTTGCTATGTTAGTCATAACCAGATGGTAAATTTCACTGTGGTTCATGGTACTATATACCCATAGTTCATAGGATACGTTCTCACCACTACCCATGACGGATTCATGGTGCTGCTAGATCTGGTAACATGGATCCCATCAATATACCTCAGTCATGTTAGCATATATACCAGCACCATGGATCCGTCATGAGCGATCATTTACTATCATTTATTATCCCAATAACCAGATGGATATATACCCTCTGGTAAACGTTTACATAACGAACTGGAAAGATCCACCATTTTGTAGCTGGGTAAATCCACTATTTCTATGGTCATTTTCAATAGCAAACTGTTAAATAACCAGATGGATTAAAATCATCCTTTCATCCAGCATGTTCATCCGGCGCAACTCGCGGTTCCCGTCCTGGAGTCCGACGCGGTGGGAGAAGGCCAAAAAATGAGTGCCACGCGGCTCAAGCCGCAAAAAGGCTGCGGGAGAAGGTGAGGATTTTCACGGAAAACTATAGGAAAACCATAGGAAAAGCATAGGAAAATGGTGATTTCACGCTGAACTGGGGATTTCATGGGAGTTATAGGTGATAACTCCCATTTCACTATGGTGTATAGCGGTATAGCGGATATATCGAACTACTCAGTGAGGTTTATTAAATATAAATATAATTAGGGGGCACCACCTTGTTTGCATGGAATTTATAGTAAGCTGCAAAAGGATAGAAAAGCAAATGCTACTAAAGCAGTGGTGAAGACCCGTTCTATCTTTTGCGGGATTACTATATTGGGATTACCCTCTGGTAAACGTTTACATAACTATGGACAATCACAATTTTTAATGGGAAAACCATCTATAAATGTTCATTTTCAATAGCTATGTTAAATTACCAGAGGGTAACAAAAAACTGGCTATGTCGATGGGTCTACCAGCAAGATCATCGAAAAAAAGCACAAGGTGAAGAACGGTGGGGTGCCACGACAACTGACGACAATCCCGAGGAGGTCTTGGGTAGTATAACCACCAGATAGAACAGTAATTTATCCATAAACATGTGTGTGTATAATGATCGTCATATGGGAATATCATGGAACTATACTGGTATAATGGGAATAATATATAACCAAATATGTAGTAATTTTTCATAATTATTTACTTCTCGTGACATTTTACGAACTTCTATCTGACTTTGCGGGTTGCAAAGTTAACCGCTACATATTAATATTAGCACAGTTACTAGGGTTCCCAACTGTGGCAGATTTACAGTGGGCGGTGAACTAGCCATGGCTAGTCGGTGAACTAGCTTGTTCACCGAACAAAAAACGCTGGACGATCAGCACACTGAATGCCTAACTTAGCCTACGGAGTGAACCAGGGAACCCAGTTCAAACTGTAACGTTGGTAATGGTTCAGCACTTGGAAGTGCAGTTCCATTAAAAAGTGGATATTAATGACCATAGTGAGGTGAGAATCCCAACTTATCCGGGTTGTTACCATAGTTATATAGGCAGTTATATCTCATTTTATATCCCAACATGTGTGGATTATTACCCTCTGGTAAACGTTTACAGTTCCCTATTGAACATGGACCAGTCGAAATAGTTGATTTACCCATTACAAATGGTGGATCTGTCTGTTTAGTTTTTGTAAACGTTTACCAGGCCGGGTACCATGAAATTAGCAAAATCCCAACTTATCAGGATTGTTGCCAGAGTTATACCAGGTATTTCTCGGCAGTTATTGTTACTTGTTGCTATATATCAGTTATATATAATCACCTGCCATATCAAAAATCACCAGTTGTTATATACCAGTTACCAGAGTTATACCAGGTACCAGGTTTATATCCCAACATCTGTGGATTCTTAGCAAAATCATCACCAAAAGAATCACCCCAACTGCCAGGATTCACCATTTCAACGCAAAAACACACACCACGCCCCTGAGGCCAGTGCCACCAGTGCCAAAGAGCGCCTGGTATTTTTGTTTTCGGAGCCGAAAAATTGGAAGGTTTTTTGTTTTTTTTTCCGACTGGAACATAGCTTTTTTCATTGATTTATATGGATATGATTGTGATTTGTCATTTCTTCATTGATTTATATGGATATGATGGTGATTTGTCATTTTTTCATTGATTTATATGGATATGATCTGGTTGGTGGTTTCAACCTGGCCCTCTGAAAAATGATGGACGAATCGTCAGTTGGGATGATGACATTCCCAATAGTCTGGAAAGTCATAATCCAGCCATGTTCCAGTCACCACCAACCAGATTATATATCATGTAATATCCATTATTATTATCCATCATTAACCATTATTAACCAGTATTAACCACTATTATATACTATTAACCATGTCATTTTCTGATTTAATCACCACCAAGTCACCATTGTTGGTCATCCCGGGAATACAAGGTGGTGCGCCCCAATGGGTGATGTGAACGATGGTTTATGTTCACCTTATGAATGGTACTTGGTGGTGAACTACCCACGGATCGTAAGTAGCTTAGTTCACCCCAGTTGTAAATGGATTAGCCCAGTTCTTATCCCACAAAAAGAGCCAGGGATATAAGCTCGGATTCGCGGGTAGTTCGCCACCAAGCATATGAATATTGGGAAGATCCCCAGTTATGTGGGTTATGTATGGTTATGTGGATTAACCCAGTTCTACTAACCTCGGATTCGTGGGTAGTTCGCCACCAAGAGACGGCGCAAGTTGAGGTGAATTTGATGGCTGTAGCCATATGGCAAAATGGTACCCCAAAACGATCAGTTGGGATAAGCCCCCGAAACGAAAACACCCCATTTCTTCACTGAAAAAACACCCCATTTCTGGACAGGAGATTGGTGAACTTCATATGAATTTCATGATGTTTCCGTCCAAGATTACCAACTTGCTTTCATGTACTACCCATTTTGGTTGATCAAACATGAAAACGAATTGTTGAAACCTGAAATATCATTTTCTTGGCGAAACATATCCCAAACGTATCCCAATTATGTGCCACGTATGCCATAGAATCTCTACTTCAGGGTCTAGTTGAGGTTATGGATTTATGTGTAGCCCGGTTGAAACAAACCCGCAAAAGCTCCGAATAGTCAGGATATAGCCTCTATACCCTCTGGTAATTTAACATAGCTATTGAAAATGGCCCAGTCGAAATAGTGGATTTTCCCATAATTCATGGTGGATCTTTCCATCGTTTTTTGTATGTTTACCAGGCCGGGAAAATGTAAGTTCTTATAGCCACCCAGTAACTGGAACGCCGCCACTGCCTCTCAGTTGACAACTCCAACTCTCCACTCTCTTCACCGGTTTCCATAGTCATGGGCCAATGGGGATCTCCCCAATATATGGGTTTGTCTGAAAATAGGGTATATTCCCAATTATAGCCATTTAAAGTCATTTAATAGGGATAATGATCATTAACCATTGGGTTTAGGGGTACACTATTTTCAGACACACCCATATCGCTGGATGGTGAAAAACATGGAAAAGCCTAGCTTTTTATGTTTGGATGATGACTGGGGGTCGCCCTATGACTTCGGAAACCACGATTTTATGGTCTCAAAAGCAGTACTTCAACCAGGTCTTTGGGGCAAGCTCTGGTAGCCCTAAAGAGGGCCATGGTTGCTGATCATTTCCCGTATACTTTAAATGGTCATAGAAGGTAAATGGTTGAGGTTTGGGGCCCCAATTTCCCATAAACTGAAGCTTTTCATCAGAATGTAAAGATATGAGAAGACAGGGCATACGGATATCGCTCTCCGTTGTGGCTTTGTGCTTCCCACAATGGATCTCCGGTTCTTGTCCACCGGCTCCGGGGCAGCTAGTGCATTGGTGCTACCGCAAACTACAGCTCTCATGATGCTGATGCTAGGAAAAGAACTACTGAGCGGACTCTGAGTGTGCCCTGAGTGCCATAGCTTTGCTGTCTTTTCACACTAGCCGATGTCTCACCCATCTGTTTCACCGTTACATACTGTAGTTTTTCACCACTTTCGTTGCGACCCGGCGTTGTCGGTGTTTGCTTCAAAGTGCCAGGGTGTAATGTCATGCCTGAACGGCTGCTCTTTGTGATCTCGGGGATCCTGGCTGGGGGGATCCCTGGTTTCTGCATTGAGCTGTGTTGCTTCGTACACCCTCTGATTTGGCCCTGGTGTGTTTTGGCGTGTTTTGGTTCGTTGTTTTATGTTCGGGGCTATTGTCGTCATGACACATAAGATGTCATCTTGCATGAATCCCTACTGGTTGCAATCCCTCTTCCTGGTGTGTTTTTGGTTGTTTTGCTTGTTTTTTGTTGTTTGCTTTTGTGGTTTCCTTTGTTTTTTCTGTTTTGCTGGGATTGCATACTGAACTGCGTACAGGTCCATCACCAGTACTTTTGTGGCTATCGACTATTGACAGCCTTGCACGATAATTACAATTCAACTTTTGCTACGATCGAACGTGTGTAACGACCTGGCGAAAGCCATGAAGGCGTTGGACGGAAAAAAAAATGCAAGAGACGATTTGAGATATCGACCTGTGGGTCTAAGTGAATCTACTTGGATCTCGATTCTCCTTTGAATACAGTTTGAAGCTCTATTTAGCTTTGAGACAGTGGACGAATGCTTCCAGAAGCATTCGCCATACAGTTAATTCGGGAGTACAATGTATTCCCCTCTGGTTACTTAACAGTTCGCGCACAGGAAACCATTTTTATGATGATCCGAACTTCACAATTTTCCAGTTATCGATATATATCTACTAAAGATTACCAAACCATAGTTACCATAAGGATTTTCCAGTTCGCAAAGCGTTAAAAATTGCCAACCAGTAAAACCAACAACGACATCCCCCGTCGTTTCTCTGAGACCTCCGGCCTCATTTGCGGCGCCTTGCCGACGCCAACGCGACCCACACGACCCAAAGTCGCCGCCTGAGAAAAGAGCCGAGTTTCCGGGAAGCGAGGACCGTGTCCCCAAAAGAAACATGGGAGTCATACGAGGTTTGTTGGTTTATTAACCATAGAATACTATAGATACATCATGATACATCTACCATGATGCCTAGAATTCACCTAGTTATAAGCCAACTCCAGATAACTTCAGTTATGTTGGTAAATCCCATGAATTGATGGTTGCAAACTCCTGCACCAGGCAGGGTAACTAATGAAAACATAATTCAACACCGTAAATAATAGTATAAACATGTATAAAATATGGGACTTTGCCAATCTGCCACTTTTTGTTTGTTGGTTTGCAAATCTCATGAATAGTCGCTGTTTTTTTTTTTAAAGTTGTGGTTTAAGGAACAATTTTATGGGATTTCATGGACCTACCCACCTACCTATCCACAATTCACATAGAAATCCATCTTACCAAACAAGGGGTGAAATGACATTCAAAGAGCCATAAAACTGCAAAAGCATCAGCAAAGAATGATAGGTAATTTGGGTATGGGTTCTGCTGGCTTTCACGCCACATTGTGTCACATAGCAGTTGCTAATCGCTCGATATTCAAACCACTTGTTTCTAAGATCGCGTATGTTTCAAGTACTTGGGGGTGCATTGCAGTTAGTCAGTAGGTAATAAGCAACACAGAAGCCATATACAACCAGGGGACACTTCATTCCCACCTGACTGGAATGCCCAGTAAACCCTCTGGGAAAATCATCGAACCAAGGAGCTGATGACACCAGGGAGGCTTTTCGAAACCAGTTTTTTGGTGGATCCAGAGCTGGGAAATAACACATTTCCAATCCTAAAACCTGACCTCCGCTAGACCAACAGTTCGCTCTTGAAACTGGCCCCTGAAAGTGGTTGATTTCCTTGTCAAAAGTGATGATTTTCCATACTTGAGTTAGTTTAGCAGAGGGTAATTTTGCTGATAAGGTCACGTCGATATCGATAATATCTCCCCAATATATGGGATAGTAATAGGGTACCCCAATTCAAGGATTATCATCATTTTCCCTATGAAAATTGTCATCTGACTGTAACATGCTGCTCCTCGTACTTCTTTTTGTAGGACTCCATCTCTCCGGTTCGCTCTTGACACTTCTTTTTGTAGGCCTCCATCTCGCGGCCCTTGGTGTCTGCCTCCTTTCTCGCACCGTCGTACATGCTCCGCAGGTCATCCCGTTCAGCTTTGGCCGTCTGCATGGCCCTGGTGTGCTGGACAGCCTCGGCTATAAGTTCCATGCCCCGGGCCTAACTTGCTTTGCAGTGAACCTCCAGCTCAGCCAGACGGTCTAACGCGGCTTGTTTCTCATTCTGGAGGGTTTCCGTTTCTTCCTTGAGTTTTCTTACTGCCTCCTTCTGCTTGACGATCTCCTTCTCTTCTCTCTGCTTCTGGCTATTGTTGTGCCTGTGGCCGTGCCCTGTAGTCCTTGGAGTGGATGATATGGGTTTGTCCAGAAATGGTGTACACCCATCAAATGGCAATTTTTATCATTGGATTATTTTCTAGATGAACCACTGGATTTTGGGGCTACACCATTTTCAGACAAAACCATATCCAACTTTTCCCCAATTATATGTTGGTTTATAATTCCATCAGCTATACCATCTGGTTTTTAACATAGCCATGGAAATCACCATTTTTTAGTTCGGTAAACCATCGAACTTTCTATGGGCCATAGCTTCCATGGCTATGTTAAATAACCAGAGGGTAGCTAAGTTGGTGCCAATAACTCCAATTTCACTATGGTTTATGGTACGCAAATAACTATAGTTACTGCTGATAAACCAACTTATAACTGGGGGGCCCCACATTGTATATCTACTATGGTTTAGATGATATCCATATATCCAACTTTTCCCAGGCTTCAGGGGACCCCAGGGGATTCCCTTGGAGACATAGGACCTCCATTGACCGTTACGGGTTCGAAGGCGACAGGGGCCAAAGGCTCCTGGCTGCGGATAGATATATCTGGGTAAACTATACAAAAATGGTAATTAATATTAGTAGATTATGAATGGGATCGTATATAGTAATTAGTATTCATGGATTTTGGGTGAAATCGATTAATCATGGGATTATATCCGGTAATTAATAGATAACCAATGAAATTATCATTTTAACCAATGGGATTATCATTAATGGGTAAACTACAATGATGGTATTTAGTACTAATAGATAATCAATGGGATATAATGGGATATAATGGGATATAATGTGATAATATTGGGATAATAGTGGGATTACATATTAATAGATAACGGGATAATATACAGCTACTAATATTCAAGGATTTTTGATGGAATGGGATCATGATTGGGTAAGCATGGGATAATATTGGGATAAGATATATGATGGCTTATTATGGGATAATCATGGGATAATCATTAGGTAACTGATGGATTTTTAATGATTATTCAAACATATCAATAGATGTATTTGATGATAATGGGACTAAACATCAATAATTAGATACGTAGTGGGAGAATAAACGATAATGATATGCAACGAGATAAAAATTGGATAAAGGTATATAATAAACAATAATCGGGTAGATATATCTGGATAAGTTGTAATAATTCACTAAGCTGATACAGGTCATTTTGGGGATGATTTCACCTACTAACCATTATTTCAGTGAATTCGCAGTGAGGTCGGTGTAATTTATCCAAATAGATCATCATAATTTACTATAAATTATCATGGATTATCATAAATTATCATAGGTTATCAATGATTATCATAAATTATCATAGGTTATCAATGATTGTCAAAAATATCATAGGTTATCAATGATTATCATAGTAGATAAATGGAGGTCCAAACATAGGTCTGGTTATATGTGAGGGTCAAAACATAGATAGGGTATGATCATCTATCCGATCTATCCCATATTCAATGGGTATATAACTCCCTGTTAATGGATTAATAACCATCCCCCATGCATCTTTCGAGTGTGGCTCATCATAGTAACCCCTGAAAGAAATAGAACAGCTTCTGTTCCGCCTGAATGAGCATCCCCAAGACCATCATAGGGATCCTGCTCCTATGGGAAATTTCACAAACATGACATGTTTTGGTGACCGGTTCCATCCATGCGAAATGGAAATCGATTTGTCGCTTCGCTCACTGTTGGGGCAAGCTGTTGAACTCTTCAGGTCCGACAGCATGTGCCCATTCCAAATCCAGGTGCTGACGCAGTGAGCAAAACCCAAAAAACGGTTCACCATACTAAGAACCATATTAATTAATCCATATATATATATATTTATATAACCATACTATATAAGAACCATATTACGTAATCTATTATATACATATATATATAAATATATTGATGACCATAGCATCAAAACAACCATGGACCATATTGGTATATTCCCATCCATCACTGCCATCGGTGGGAAAAACACCTTTAAAGCCAACAGGCAAATGTATCCACACAGCAACGCATGCAAGAATCATGGAGTATTCCTTATGTCAGTACAGCAGCAACAAAAACATCTATCTGGGCAAATTATAATATTTCACTAACCTGAATTAAGGCCATTTGGGGATGATTTCCCTTACTAACCATGATTTCCAGTGAGGTCGCAGTGAGGTCGTTATAATTTATCCTTTTGCTCGTGCCAGAGAACCCACGGCCAGTTTCGGACCGTGGGGGTCTATTGAAAAAACACTACGTAGGCGTAGTCAACGTCCAGGAAGTAGCAATTGGAAAATGCCGTTGGAGGTCAAACGAATGCCTCACGCACTGTTGACAAAAAGTGTAAAAACTGTGTCATGCAGCCCATTGCAGAGGGGCGTTAGGCATAGCCCTCCAGTGGCGAACTGAAGTGAATGCCTTTGCCACATCCTTTAACTTCTGCTTCCAAGCAGAAGGATGCCTATTGAAATAAATCTTCAACAGGTTGAATATGAGAATGCTGAGGTTTTTCAGGTCGTTGTCCCCGTGGCAAACTCATCCATGATCTTCTTGTGAACAATCTCCACAAGGGGAATTCTGTGCTCCAGGATTCTGGAAAGTCCCCTGGCCTTCGATCCTGTACACCTGGGACATCACCAACTCCACCACTGTCATCATCGACGGGCTCTTGACGTCCTCCACTTGATCATCAAGAAGATCTTCTGGCAAATTTACCCATATATATATATAGATATACACGAACAGCAAGTCCATCCTGGCACATCCTTTGGTTGAAACTCACATGACCACATCTTTCCCATTGCTTAATGGCAGTTTTGGGGCATACTCCGTTCTTGTACCGCCCCGCCCTATTGTTGATTGTATATATTATATTTTACACATACTATTAATCATATCCCCATTGCATCACCGTTCTCAAGCAATTATCTGCACATATGCTACAGGTATAGAATGGGAGTATCAAGTACTCATTTCATGATCAAGATACTAGGATGCAGGATGCTAATGTGTTCCTGTTATCATTGATTTTTCTTCTGTAAATCTTCGTATACAACACGTATAGTTAATTAGCTGCACATACTAACTAGTAATTACCCTCTGGTAATTTAACATAGCTATTGAAAATGACAATTTGTAGTGGATTTTCCCATTAAACATGGTGGATCTGTCCATAGCTGTGTAAACGTTTACCAGAGGGTAATAGTTTCCAAACAAATCGTGCTAGACACGTAGGGGGTGGGCCTCCAGTTCTCAGTTGGTTTATCAACCCAAAAAACTCGTTCGGTATATCTAGAATATAATGTTTCTAATAGTTTAGTTGAGTTTAGTTGGGTTATACTAGATATCTAGTTCGGTATATCTAGTATATCTAGTTCGCCAACAGTGAAATGTGATTGAACAAAACCCACTCAGCGAATGTCAACTACTTGTAAATTTCAATAGTTCCTATAAGCGCCACGAACTCCTTATATTTATTCACTAACCTGAAATAAGGTCACTAACCAACATTCAAGTGAAGTCGCGGTGTGAGGTTGTAGTTCATCCGGATCAATCACGAATCCCATTTTGTTGGTACTTGGTGGCTCAACCCACTTACCCTCTGGTAAACTAACATAACTATGGAAAATCATCATGTTCAATGGGTAAATCCACTATAAATAGCCATTTTCAATAGCTATGTTAAATTACCAGAGGGTAGTAACTGGGTTATAACCCTGGTTGTTTCTATGGGATAAGCAGGATTAGTCCACTCAAAAAACTGGGGTGAACTAACCCACTTACGATCCGTGGGATGAAGCACCAAATATATATCCCATTTTATATTCATTATATATGGATTATATATATATATAAATCAAATTATATCCCATTTTATTTTATATATCTCATTTATTTTTGAACTATATATAAATGGGATATAATCATTTCACTTCCAGTTCAATTCCCAAAGGGTAAATCATCTAGGGGCCTCCATGAAGGGGCTAAAGTACGGCACCTGAGCAGGGGTGGATGCGCTGTTGATGTGCCGGAGATGCCGGAAACCACCAAATCTTACCACCTAAAGACAACAGATGGTTCTCATATACATGTATATATATGTATGTATGTATGTATGTATGTATGTATGTATGTATGTATGTATGTATGTATGTATGTATGTACGTACGTACGTACGTATGTATGTATGTATGTAACGTAACGTAACGTTATGTTATGTTATGTGATGTATGTATGTACATATATAGAGAGAGAACCAAACATATAGCCTGGCTGAATTACAATAAAAACCACAACCTGACAATTGCTGAAACTCAAGGGACCATTTGGGGGTACTTGGGGATGTTTCCCCGAATCCTAACCATCATTCCAGTGACGTCACAACGTGAAGTCATTGTCATACATGTTTGGAAAAACCGTTGGATTTCAGCACCTTAGAACAGCTGATATTGTTCAAACAGTTGATATATATGTAAATGTGTATGTATATATATATATGTATATGTATATATATATATATATATGTATGTATTGTTCAAACAAATCTTTTGAACCAAGCGATGGGAAGTGGCTGTGCGATGTGGCCTGTGGGGAGCTCCTGTTCCCCCCAAGTAGTTCTCTGCCCGGCTCGCAGCGCTCTGAGAACATCGCCATATGGTGGAGAAAAACCACCAGCTCCAGCAGTAAAATTGTCATAAATCATCATAAATTATAATATAATCATAAATCATAAATCATCATTGTCATAAATCATCATACTATCTGGGTAAAATAATATTTCACTAACCTGAAATAAGGCATTTGGGGATGATTCCCCTTACTAACCATGATTTCCAGTGAGGTCGCAGTGAGGTCGTTATAATTTACCCAAATAGATCATCATAATTTACTATAAATTATCATGGATGATCATAAATTATCATAGGTTATCAATGATTGTCAAAAATATCATAGGTTATCAATGATTATCATATATTATTCCAGTTTTCCCAACTGTCTTCCCATCTTGGCCATCTTTTGGTGAAAACAATGCCGTGCCATTCTCCGATCCAGAACTTCCGCCTCGCGTTCGCGTCGTGCTCGGGCATCGTGAAAGGTGCTATCCTTGGGATCAGTGGAAGGGGAACAACCTGAGACCGATTTACCCTTGTTGATGCTGTGGATGGAAGAAATCCTGCACCAGGCAGGGTAACTATTGGGATTCCTATGGAACACTGTAAATTTCATGGGATGATACCGGGATAATCCATCTACCAACTGGTGCAGGATTTCTTTCATCCACAGTATGTTCTAAAGAAGTCTTAACCATCAAGATAATAGGGGTGCTCCTGGGCAAATGATAGCCACGTTTGGGGGAAAAATCGTTGTTTTAACCCACTATATTTACGCCATTTACCCCTCTTGTACCTGGGGTGTTTGGAGCAACCCTGATATATATATATATATGTGCCAGCGTTGGCCACCCCCCCTCCCCCACCCACCAATGGGTATGGGTGGACAGTATCGTCTGTGTTCTTAAGCAACCCCCCGTGCCTGTGGTGAGTGTCGGATGCGTTCTCTGGTCCCCCCCCCCTGTGGACTGGGGTGGTGGTATGGCTTCTTCTGGTCCCCCCCCACCTGTGGCCATGACTGGTGGTGGTATGTTGGTATGTTGGTATGTTGTATGTTGGGATGTTCGAGTTGTTGGATGTTGTATGTTGCGTATGTGGTATTAGGATATGTAGGTATGTATGTATGTATGGATGTAGCGTAAAGGTAATGTAGGGTAAGGTAAGGATGTAAGGTAAGGTAAGTATGTAATGTAAGTAATGTAAATGGATGTAGTATGATGTATGTACGTAGGTACGTAGGTATTGTAGGTATGTATTGTTATGTATTGTATGTAGGGAATGAAGGTAAGGCAATGTAAGAGGTGAAGGTAATGCTAGGTAATGGTAATGCTAATGGTATGTATGTATGTATGTAGTAGGTATTCGTAAGTAGGTAGGAGGTAGGTATGCTAGGTATGTATGTATGTATATACCCACCACAGGGGCATCATACCTCCCCCATCCCATGGGGGGGGGGGGTGGGAGGAACACGGGACACGCGGACATATATATATATGTAGGAATTGAATTCATAGATGATTCTTGATGCGTGTTCATAGGCTTTTTAATGATCTACCCGGGTTATTGGGGATGATGAACTGACCCTGGGAAACCTATTCTGAAACAAAGAGTGTAGCTATCATGTGGTTGGGAAACTCTGATAGCTCCAACTGCCTGCCTCCCCATTGAATAAATAGGGAATATCTGGGTAAATTATAATAATTCACTAGCCTGAAATAAGGCCATTTGGGGATGATTTCCCATTCTAACCATGATTCCAGTGAGGTCGCAGTGAGGTCGTTATAATTTACCCAGGAATATGGATACAACCGTAGCTCTGTTCACAGCTCCCTCCGTTCACTGGAGAAGCATGGGATTCTCCTATAGGATTATCATAATCACCAATATATGAAGGGTAGTGAAAATTTTAACCCCCTTAGGATAAGTATTGTAATCCCCTTTTATAATCAAAAAAAACCTGTTGGTTAATAATAATACCCCAACAGGTTGTAATCCCCCAGCAGGTTGTTATTATACTAACCCTATATTGATAATTATTATAATCCCCCATCTACTCATCAACCAACAGGGGTAGATCGCAGCCATCCAGGCTGTTCAGCCTGGACAACGAGCAATGTCAGTGGCTTTTTACGACGGATGGAATTTGTATATTTATTTGTTAGGACCAATAACTGTTCTTATATATAGTCTATAATTATATAGTTTATCTAGTAAAGTCTCGTTGGGTGAAGACTCGCAAGCCGGATGTTTCAACCGGAGACATTTCCACAGCTTTTCTGCATGCCTTGATCACAGGTGAAGACATTTGTCATTCCTGCGAATTACCAGGAGAAACGTGGTCTGGAAGTTGAAGCATCAACTAAAGTTTGAATTCAGCCACGGGTTCCAAACCAAAAGCTGGATGAATTTCAAAGTTCAAGCTATTTGCCAGCTTCAACAGATCACTGTCCGAAAGTTTGAGGGTTTCAAAGTGCTTGTAGAGGATTGGATATGACTCCCTGTACCAAAGCTGTCCCGGAGTCAAAATAGATCTTGGTCGACAAAGTTTGCAACCCATGTCTCACAACTATTCTTATATCTATTATTCTGATTCTAGTATTGTGTCATATACTGGTTGGTGGTATACCTACCCCTCTGAAAAATATGAGTTCGTCAGTTGGGACGATTAGTCCCACTAGTCTGGAAAGTCATAAAAGCCATGTTCCAGTCACCACCAACCAGATTATATTATATAATGTAATATCCATTATTATTATCCATCATGAACCATTATTGACCATTATTAACCACTATTATATACTATTAACAGTGGGAAAAACCATCAATAAATGATGATCCACCAAGTACCAACCAAGTTCCACATCTGTTCGCGGCGGGAAAAAAACACCACCCCTGAGAAGCCCAGCGGGGTGGCCGCTGCTGTCAGACGCCAACCTGCGGTTGGAACTGGGGAAATTTGCTCTCCGAGAATCCAATATAAATTGGTTGGTGGTTTCAACCAACCCTAATGGTTAATATACTGTTAATATATAGTTAATATACTGTTAATAATGGTTAATGATGATGGTTAATGATGGTTAATAACATTTTCTGGTTGGTGGTTGAACCCTACCCCTCTGAAAAATGATGGAGTTCGTGAGTTGGGAGTATTATTCCCATATATTATGAAAATATGTTTGAAACCACCAACCAGTGAACATCATTTTTTCTACTGTACCCTTCAGTAAATTAACACAGACCCTGCCAGATATATGGGTTGGAAGATTAGTTGCAATTATAAAATGCTATTTTCGGTGTCTATGTTGATTTACCAAAGGGTAAAGCATACCGGGAATCTAGTGGGATATCATGTCATGCAATCAAATAGGAAACCAAACTTATCTTAACACCACCATGTAGGTGTGATACTCATCTGCAATAACAAAACTAATGGTTTAAACAAGGAGAAATTGGAGGTTGGATGGGGTTGGCCGCTTAAAATACTGTTTTGGCCAACAGACGCTTTGTTCAGCCAAATATCGTATTCTTGGTTGGTGAGTTTTCCAGTCTAGCCCATTCAGTCCCTAGCATATCCCTACCATATCCCTACTATCCCCTTAAATCTCATATCAATCACCATCTTTGGATAAATTGCTGTAATTCACCGAAATTCACGTTCGGCCGTTTGGGACGGTTCCAGAGGATTAGTCTTGGATTTAAGGGGAACCACCAAAAAATCGGAGGAATATTCTCACCAAGTCATGGATTTTTATCCCCAAAAGTCACGGGAATATTTGCTGGTTGGTGGTTTCAACCTACCCCGTACCCCTCTGGAAAATAACAATTCGTCAGTTGGGGTTACTATTCCCAACTGAATGGAAAAATAAAAATCATGTTCCAAACCACCAACCAGATTTGATTCTCTACAGATTCGTGAAGTCGAAAAATTGATTTCCTTTGGGGAAAGTGATAAAAAATCAGACTCGGCAAACTTTGTCCAGGAATACCTTCCACCTGAAGCTTAACAACACCCTCTGGTTGGTGGATTTAACCATCTTGAAAAATATTAGTCAATGGGATGATTATCCCATATATTATGGAAAATAAAAGTCATGTTCCAAACCACTAACCAGCCCCGGGAGATGAAAAACAAACGCATCGTGCACAGCATCAAGTTGGGTGCCAAGCGGGACCAACGGCCCTTTTTTCCGATGGGTTTCCCTCCCAATCTTCACCGAACTTGGAGGTTGCAAACATGGCGTTCTCTCATGGCTGCAACGCCGCAAACTGAACGCGGTAACTCTTAGCCATGCCATGTGTCAGGATGGAAATGAAGAAGATTTGAAATCAAAATCGAGTAAATGATGGCTAAACAAATGATTGTTAATCCCAAGTTTTCGAAAAACAAGGAGAGACCCATCAATTATCGGCAATTTTCACATCAACCATAATTTGCAATAGCCCATACAGCCCATACATGTTCAATTCTTTGTCAACAAATGAAACCATGAAGAAAAATGGCATAGATCAACCAGTTTCCACACAGCAGGGCATTGTGAATCCTCCAATGGAGCTGACCGATTTTGCTGGGTATCCACACAGCCCCATGTGGTATGCACTGTCCAACGAACTGCCAAGCGCAACGGGTTCCTACGAGGCAGAGATAAAAGAGGGAGGGGTGTTCCTACAGGATGGTGCCCCCCAGTTATAAGTTGGTTTATACCATCTAAATATGATTATAAGTATCATACACTAGTGGCATTATAGGTATAAACCAACTTAGCGAACGAACTGGGGCACCATCCTGTAAAGTGTGGGAAATACATTGCCAAGCTTCTGTGGGCACCTGGCAAAAAACAACAATGTATGTGGGCAGGTTAATGTATCTTCATTTATCTGGGTAAATACCCAAGTTGGTTAAATCCACTATATTCCGAAAAACATGGGTGATGGATCAATACAAAAAAATGATATACCATATATACTATATACCATATATACTATATACCATATATACTATATACAATACATACTATATACCACATATACTATATACCATATATACTATATACCATATATACTATATACCATATATATTATATACCATATATACTATATACCATACATACTATATAGCACAAATACTATATACCATAAATACTATATACCATATATACTATATGCCATATATACTATATACCATATATACTATATACCATATATACTATATACCATATATACTATATACCATATATACTATATACCATATATACTATATACCATATATATATATATACTATATACCATATATACTATATACCATATATACTATATACCATATATACAATATACATACTATATACCACATACTATATACCACATATACTATATACCATATATACTATATACCATATATACTATATACCATATATACTATATACCATATATACTATATACCATATATAGTATATACCATAAATACTATATACCATATATACTATATACAATACATACTATATACCATATATAATACCAGATTAATAATAGGGATCTCAAACTTCAGAACTTTCTCATCCAATCTTGGGAGCGGCACTTTGGATTCCACAACAATAAACACCGGAAACTCTGAGGATAGATACTCGGTGATGTTTATAGTAACCCCAAACAAAATAGAAGAGGGCGATGTTTAGAGTATCTATGGGATTCTGATCCTTGGGATTTATATTACCTTATATTACCCCAAACTTTAGGTCGGGATTTGACGAACTTCTACCTTTTTGATCCTTAACATGGGCTTTGCATGGGTTTGCTACAATACATTCCAGTGCATTCCAATCATTGGGCAATTGGTCATCATCATCCTACGTAGGGAGGAAAGATCACGATATTTGTAACCAGCAATCAGGAGATCAAATTACTTCCGTGCATCATGAACCCTAAACCCAATTGTAAATGAGTCTACTTTCGCCCGTCCAACTATATGTATATATAAATAAATATGTATAGAAATATATATATATATATATGTTATATATATATATATGTATGTATATATATATACACATAATGATCCATCTCCACCACACATCCAGTCGGTCTCCTAATAGTTTCAACCAAACTTGGATTTGCCAAACAGGGACCGTTCTGGTGAATTTCCAGAAGAATGGATCCAATTTTTGTCGTGAAAAAAAGTGACACCCTCCAGTAAACTAACATAACCTGCGCAGGTAAATCATCATTTTTTGAGTAGGTAAATTTCATCATTCTTAGTAAATAAATCATCATTTTACCTACTAATAGAGATGATTTAGTTTAGTAAACCTACTAAATCATCATAAACCTACTAATAGTTTACCTACTAATCATAAACTATTTTCCAAATCGCGAAGTGTTAGTTTAGAGGCCAGAGATTCACCAATCATCAATCTCTGCCGTGGGCCCCACCTTGGGCAATACCGAACTTTGTGCACGGCCCCACCTGAAGGATGGGATGACAGATGGTTTACTAACGGGTCCAGATTGAAAACACAGCATCTGTTGTAGAACCATTATCGGTTTGTTGGGGAAAACCCGGGAAAATCAAGCATTTGGTAGGATATGAAGATTTTTTTGTGGGGGATATCATGGAATAAAAAACCATAAATACAAAGAAGGGTATGTCTGAAAATGCGATATATCCACAAAGAGCCATTCTAACAAAAACAATGATGACAAACCATCAAATTTGGTGGTCTGCTATTTTCAAATGAGCCCACATGGCGGGCCATTTACAGTACATCCCATCAATTCACATTTGTTGCTGGTAAAATAGCCACACTCATCGCCATTCTTCTGAGCCCTGGCTGGATCGTAAAATGGAGGATCCCCAGTCATCACCATGGGTTTCAAACTTCGACAATTCGAAACCCTAACATGCCCAACCCCTAAAAATCCGTATACATCTGTATACCATCTAGTGTTGCTGGTAACATAGTCGAAATTTGGATGATTTTGTGGTACCCCTATGACTTGGGACACCAAGTCATATGTCTAATGAAAAATTACCCTTGAATCCCAATTTTTTGTCCATGAAGTTCCACGGATAGCCCCATTTCTGATTGAAATCCTGCACCAGTTGGACAGTATGGATTGGTTTTTCCGGGAAAATTTGGAAACCATCGATTATCCCGTTAAGATCATGGGGCTTTCCGGTTACCAATCCATTGACGACTAGATGACCGTGAAGCACAACGTAAATCAGGATTGTTTTTTTTGGGACAAACTCCAACACTGCAATTTGATTGTCCCTTTCACCGTAAATGATTAACCATCATTAACCGTCATTATCCATCATTAACCATCATTAACCATCATTAACCATCATTAACCATCATTAACCATCATTAACCATCATTAACCATCATTAACCATCATTAACCATCATTAACCACTATTAACCATCATTAACCATCATTAACCATCATGAACCATCATTAACCATTATTAACCATCATTAACCGTCATTAACCATCATTAACCGTCATTAACCATCATTAACCATTATTAAACATCATTAACCGTCATTAACCATCATTAACCGTCATTATCCATCATGAACCATCATGAACCATCGTGAACCATCATGAACCATCATGAACCATCATGAACCATCATGAACCATCATGAACCATCGTGAACCATCATGAACCATCATGAACCATCATGAACCATCATGAACCATCATGAACCATCATTAACCATCATTAACCATCATTAACCATCATTAACCATCATTAACCATCATTAACCACATTAACCATCATGAACCATCATGAACCATCATTAAGCATCATTAAGCATCATTAAGCATCATTAAGCATCATTAAGCATCATTAAGCATCATTAAGCATCATTAAGCATCATTAAGCATCATTAAGCATCATTAAGCATCATTAAGCATCATTAACCATTTTTAATCATTATTAACCATTACTAACCATCATTGACCATCATTAACCATCATTAACCATCATTAACCATCATTAACCATCATTAACCATCATTAACCATCATTAACCATCATTAACCATCATCAATTAGATAATCACAAACTCCAAGAAAAACCCGTGGCATTTCACCGTAAACCGCTGGCATTGTTCAGCTGATTCCACCTCTCCGTCCACGGGGCGTCGTCGCTCCAATCGTCCTCGGCATGGGCCTCGGACATCGTTCGAGGAAAGATATGGAAGATGGAAAAATCTGGAAAATGGTTACTATATGGTTATTATATGGTTAATATATGGCTAACCATGTGGTTAATGATGGTTAATATATGGTTAATGATGATGGTTACTATATGGTTGATGATGATGGTTAATGATGATGGTTAATGAGGATGGTTAATGATGATGGTTATTATATATGGTTAATGATGGTTAAAATGGCTAAACTAACTCTGGTTGGGATATAATCCCTATGGCCCTATGCTTATAAATGGTATATATATAATCATGATATATCTGGTTGGTGGTGCAATAACCATCTTGAAAAATATGAGCTCGTCAATGGGAAGGATTATTCCGATATATTATGGAAAATAAAAGTAATGTTCCAAACCACCAACCAGATATGGAAAGATGAATTTTAGTTTGTTGGAGGAAAAGCCTACCGGAAACCCATGGCTTTTTCAGTGTTCTTACCATCGTTTTTATGGCATTTTCCCGGGTTTTTTCGCATGATCCAAGTCTGGAAGAAAAAACATGTTGGGAACATATGGGTGTGTCTGAAAATGTGGCACCCTGTGGTAAACAGCTCGTCAATGGGAAGGATTATTCCGATATATTATGGAAAATAAAAGTAATGTTCCAAACCACCAACCAGATATGGAAAGATGAATTTTAGTTTGTTGGAGGAAAAGCCTACCGGAAACCCATGGCTTTTTCAGTGTTCTTACCATCGTTTTTATGGCATTTTCCCGGGTTTTTTCGCATGATCCAAGTCTGGAAGAAAAAACATGTTGGGAACATATGGGTGTGTCTGAAAATGTGGCACCCTGTGGTAAACATACAAAAAGCTATTGAACATGGCCATTTATAGTGAATTTTCCCATGAAAAATGGTGATTTTCCATGGTTATGTTAAATTACCAGAGGGTAATTATACTCCCAAATAACAATCTCTCAGGGAAAACGATGATAATCCATTGGAACTGTCAGATTGATGAATCACATTGAACAAAAATAATGAAACACATCGGCGACGATGAAAAACATGCACATTTGTTGAAAGGAGGGTCGTGAAGAAATGTAGATTTACAGATGATGATATTCTGTAGATTTATGGACGTTGGTATTCTGAAGACAAAATACACGTCAACACATAATAACATCAAAATGATATATATATATATATGTACATATATATATATATATGTATTTAGATACACTATAACATGTGCAAATATGTGTATAACATCTTTCCAAAAAAACATCTCCGGGACTTCCCACTGCTTCCAACAGGTTCTGCCCAGGCCCTTTGAAAAGGCGCGCATTCTGCGAGATGGGGCCCACAGGATTTTACTCGAAAACCATACTGGTATAATTAAAATGAATGAATCTAATAAAAGTATAATGGTGATTATATATGATCACTATAATGGCCATTATAATGATTATAACTAATTACATGGGAAATCATCAATATAATGATTGAATCACTATAATATATTACAATTATGGTCATATTATAATGGAATAACCATAATGGTATAATTATATCATTCAATCCCACAGGATAATTACAATATATGGCCGAATGATTATACTGTTGATTTCCCATGTAGTGATTCTTTTATGAATCTGAGAAAAAATGAAATAATATTTCATAATTATACTACATGTATAATCATGGAAAATTAATAATCATGAAATAATATCATCCTAATTTCATTGTATAATAAAATTATTATGAGAATCATGTATAATCAATAGTCTTTATAATATAATCAATACTACAGTCACAATAGTAAATAATCAATAGTCACTATACGTATGTATAATAGTGACTGTAGTAATATGACGGTCCTATTGTGGATACTTTTTATGGGGGTGGGCACAAGATTCGTCCTTCTTAGTATCAAATCGCTGGGGATGTTTCCCTATGTCTACTACATATTTATATATGCGTATCCCCATTAAATCCCCAACCAACTGATCGCTTGCCGCCACTACAGTCTACCCCCTGGCCCTGAGCCGCGCCGGGCTGCGAGTTGTGGGCTTTTCTCCATCACGGTGCGTGCTCTTGGCTCGTCAATGTCCTCGGCTCGTGGTTTGGGGACTCGGAAGGGAAACTTGGGGATTTTCTGCATATTTCATGGGACTTGATAGGGATTCAACGGGATTTTTGGTGAATCTTATCTAGGGATTCTTCCTCAAGGAATTTGGAGCTTTAATGGTGATTTAATGGTGATTTAATGGCTTTTAAGGGATTTAATGGGACATATCATCTACTTTGGGGTGGTCAGAGGTTGCAAATGGTTATGACTATGGGATTTTAACCTCCATAAGTTGGGATATAAGTCCCAAAAAACATCATAACTACGGTGAAACAGATCCACTTACAACTGGAACTACACTTTCAAGTTGGGAATCGGCCAATAATTGGTCCATCTTGTCCCTAAAACCCTGACCTCATGGGTCAGAGTAAGGCCATCTTTACATCCCCATGCACTCAGCTTTTTTTCAATACCCTCCTACTTTACCCGCCTGATAAATCTAACCTGGAATTTTTGTAGTGATTCTCCAAGAATGGGATTGTCCAAAGTATAATACACTTTTCCTATGGTTTATCATAATCTTCTTCCCTATCAAAATTGCCATTTTAGGGCATCCCCTCTGAACAAATCTAAGTTTTATATTGTTAGTGTTTTCACATTAATCATAGTAATCATATATATTAGATATAATCATATATATATATATAATATTAATCATAATGATAATATATCATTATATATATAGTATATGTATATATATATATATATCATAAATATGCACCCTGCAAAAACATGGGGTGTTCTCAGGTTTAATGAACCAGGTCCGAGATGGGCACGGTGCCTTTTTTGCAAAAAAAACAATCCATTTGAATCCTACCTTGCCCTATCATTATGAGTTATATGTTAACATAGCTATTGAACATCACCATCTTTAATAGGTAAATAATCTATAAATTGCCAATTCTCAATAGCAAATTTTTATAGTGGGTTACACCCATAGACCCATAAGTAGATAGATAGATAAATAAATAGATGATAGCAATATATAGACCCCATTAAAACCCATTATTATCTGGTTGGTGGCATACCTACCCCTCTGAAAAATATGAATTCGTCAGTTGGGATGGTGAAATTCCCAACTGAATGGGAAAATAAAATTAATGTTCCAAACCACCAACCAGTTATGAGTTATATGTTACAATATGTTAAAAAATCCTCATTCTTACTACCCTCTAGTAAACTAACAGTTTGCTATGGAAAATGGATGATTTATAGTTGGTCTCCTTTTTTTCACATGGTGATTTTCTAGTTCGCTAACCGTTAGTTTACCAGAGGGTAATGGGATTTAATGGTGATTTATATCACCAAGACTTGGATTTGCTTAAGGGATCCCCAAAAAATAAAAACTATTCACTATAGATTCCCCACATGGTGGTTGATTTTCATGGATTTTCCAGTTGGAAAATTAAATATCACCTTAAACAAACCCAGGAAGAAATATGGGGATAATACTGGGAATAGCCAGTATTATCAACATGGCAATGGAAAATCATGGGGTTCCATGATTTTCCCAGCCTATACCCTCTGGTAATTTAACATAGCTATTGAAAATCACCATTTTTAATGGGTAAATCAGCTATAAATGGTCATTTTCAATAGCTTTTTGTATGTTTACCAGAGAGTAAGCCTCCATTAAAGTCATTTTTACCTTCTCGGTGAAAAATTCCCCAACTGAAACGATGCTAAGGGACCAGTGGATCAGCCACTGGAACTCGGTCTCTCTGGTGGCTCTTGGGCTCTTCATGCCTCGGCAATCACAACCTGCACTAGCATAACTGGTTGGTGGTTGACCTACCCCTCTGAAAAATATGAAAATCAGTTGGGAGTATTATTCCCAATATATGGGAAAATAAAATTGATGTTCCAAACCACCAACCAGATAAAGTAACTGATCCAATCAACACATCCCATACCCTCTGGCAATGACTGTTACATAGCTATTTCGAAAATTGCTATTTATAGAAATTGTTGATTTTCCCACCTAGCAAATGGTGGATCTTTCCAATTCGCTATGTAAACGTTTACCAGAGGGTAAATCCATATAAATCCCATTATAAATCCTATTTCAATGGGAATTCCAGGATCCTAAATTGGAGGTACGTTAGTACCATATTTCTGGCCATATTTTGGGGGGATATCCCCTTACATAGGCCTAAAAAATAGGCCTGAAACATATGCTAGGTACCTCCAATCAATCGGTTCCTGTTGCATGGCCATTGACTATGAGAAATCCCATACAAATCTTCATGCCTCGATATAAAATAAACAAAAAAGGCTATGATGTCCGTTGCGATGTGTCCTTTGCTTTAATCAATGGCCATGCAACAGGAACCGATTGATTGGAGGTACCTATCATATAGAAGGCCTATGTAAGGCCTATGTAAGGAGATATACCCTCAAAATATGGCCTTATATGGTACAGTACCTCCATTTTAGGATCCTCAAATTCCCATTGATTTAAACGCTGCCATGTCTTCTGCGGTTTCTTTTGGGCTGTACCACTACTATCAACACATCCAACAAAATATCCATTATAAATCCAATTTCACACAATGGCAATTTATTGCTAATGGATTTATAATGGATTTTCCATATAATATGATTTACCTATACAAAAATGGTAATTTTACCAATGGCAATTTATTGCGATGGAAAATAACCATTTTTGAATAGGTAAATCATCGACCTAAATGGGCCATGGCTTCCACTTCGAGAACTCTTAGTCGTTACCAGATAGTACTAACCGAAATATTACCACCGACTATACAAACCCACAAGGTGGTGCCCTCCCAGTGATGTGAGGTTTTTTTGAGTATCACAATCCGATAGTTATAAGCCCCATTCACCATAGTTATAAGTACCAGTAGTGCCGCGCAAGGCGGTGGCGGAAGTTTCAAAAATAGGAAACCTATAGGAGAGGTTGGTTGTTGTGAATCAGGGATGGCAGAGCGAAGCCACTGATGGACTGAAAGGTGCTTGAGGTCTCCTCTCTTTCTCTCTCTTTCTCTCTTTTTCTCTCTGTTTCTCTATCTGTCTCTGATTATCTACCTACCTACCTACTGGTAGTGGAGTGTAATTTAGCGTAGTGGAGTGTAGTGGAGTGTAGTTGTGTAGTTGTAGTTGTAGTGTTGTGGACTGTAGTGTAGTGTAATGTAGTGAAGTGTAGTGGAAGGTAGTGTAGTGTAGTGTAATGTAGTGTAGTGTAGTGGAGTGTAGTGTAGTGTAGTGGAGTGTAATTGAGTGTAATTGAGTGCAGTGTAGTGTAGTGGAGTGTAGTGTAGTAGAATGTAGTGGAGGTGTAGTTGTAGTTGTAGTGTAATTAGTGTAATTAATGTATTGGAGTGTAGTGTGGTGTAGTGGCGGTTGTAGTTGAAAATGTTACAAAACCCTCACGTTTTGCTCACTTTTGACAAGGTGCACAATCCCTTGCGCCTGCCACGCGAAGCGACATCTGAACCTCCAAAAGTGGTCCGAACCCCTGGTGTTTTTAACATTTTGACTTCGAGATCTGCTTTCGCGCCACAACGGCATGCACTTTTTCGACATCTCAACTTCCAAAAGTGGTCCGAACGTGGGGTGTTTTGTACATTTTGACTTGGAAATGTGCTTCGCGCCACAACGGCGTGCGCTTTTTCATCTCTCATCTGGCCAGATGGCTCCGGACCCGCCGCTTTAGCGAGCCTACTTTTCGACCCTCCGGAGCCTCAAATCATTGGCAAAACACAGTGTTTCGCGACTTTCCTACCTTTTCGCGCATCTGAATCTTCTTTCTTCTGACTCTTTCTCTTCTACTCTTCTCTCTTCTAATCTTTCTCTTCTCTCTGCCTCTGCCCTACTCTGCTTTTCATCTGTCCATATTGTCGGAAGTTTGACTTCTAAACTTCCTTCGATCATAAACCATAGTGAAATTGGAGTTTCTTGCACCAACTTAGCTAACATAAATCACCTAAAAACAGCTCTAAATCATCTATAGCTTCCATTAAAGCACCATTAAGTCACCATTAAATCACCTTGCGTCATTGGATCTTCATTTGTGGAGGGTGTCGTTTCTGTCATCGTGTCATCCCACCTGCATCCATTGAGGCCACCAATGCTTCGGACACCTGAGGGAAATCGCGTTCAGTTGGTGTAATTTAATGGGAAAACCATGGGAAAACAATGGGAAAATGGTGATTGATATGGAAAACAAACACCATTTTTAAGAACGGTAAACCAACTATTTCTATGGGCCATGGCTTCAATAGCTATGTAACAAATTACCAGACGGTAATTTTCACTCTGGTTTATGGTACCTTATACCCATAGTTCATAAGGATAAACCAACTTATAACGGGGCCCCACATTTTTCCACCTTTGGGGATGCCCACTTCCGTCCACGAAGAGTTTCCACCAGCCAATAAAAATGGTCATTTTCCATGGGGATAATGAACACAGATATAACTAGGAAACATGGGGCCTATGATATAATGGGATAGAATGAGGATATAATGTACGATATAATGTTCTTTTATACAATATGATATGATATAAATTTTCTATAATACGATATAATTGGGATATAGTAAATTTGATGAACAGCAGCATGATAGAAATCAAAACCAATTATATGCGGATTTGCAATCACAAGAAACACCCATTGGAGCTTAATCTGGATCCATGCGAAAAAATGACACACATCACCAGCTTTAAATTGAAATGCGGCGTGGTTTCGATTCACTTCGATTCACTGCAAGTTCCTGAAAGAATCGCTGAACATTTCTGGTTGGCGGTTTTAACCATCTTGAAAAATAAAAGTCAATGGGAAGGATTATCCCATATATTATGGAAAATAAAAAATGTTTGAAACCACCAACCAGATTTCTATTCCCTTTAAACATTACCAAGATTTTGGTCATTTTCCCAGTAGATCCAGGCCTCGTGCTTGCATGCTGCCATCGGAGTGCAGCTTTGTTTTTGAATCTGTGCCCAAGATTTAAGTGGCTGTCCATTTTCAATGACCTGTTCCTCATCAAAGGGATCCACAGTTAGCTTTTGGTGTATCTATTGAACCAAATCTGCTGGCGCTTGCTGTTCAGAACCAGCAGGCATTCAACGAAATTTTAGCACACAAACATTGGACTTTGCTCGAACAAAACCTCTCCAGTCCTGCCAACATGCTTTGACTATTCTGTGATCTGAGGTTGTGGAGTGCAATGCAAAACTGACTGATTGATGTTTTTTTTTGACAGCATCGTTCCATCTTGCTGAATCATTCCATTTTTGTTGGATATTTGAGCCTTGCTGCGAGAGCGCGACTTTGCTGCAAACTGATTGGAACAAATCGGATCATGGTTTTTTTCACCAGAAATAGTGGAGGCCGCCTGGGGACTCCCAATTTTTCGCCATGTCAGATGTTTCCCTCAGGAAGAATCACATGGGAACCAACACGTTGAAATGGGTCGTAAAACTGGATGATTTTCTTGCAACGATCCCATCAACGCTGAAGATGAACACAGGATGGTGCCCCCCCCCAGTTATGTTTGTTGGTTTATAAGTCCATCTAAATATAATTATTTGCGTATCATTAACTATTGTTATAACTGTTATAACATAGCTATTGGCACCAGCTTAGCTAACGAACTGGGGCCTCATCCTGCAGTGTTTTAGCTATTTCCAGACCACGTCCTACGTCGCGACAATGTCAAGTCAAGTCATCGGGAAGCCGATGGTTGAAGCCAAATCAACAGATTGGTGATAAAAAACATCATTGTAGATATAGATATGTATATATAATGAATATATGTGAATACAGATAATATATATATATATATATATGTACATATAATAAACATAAATATCTAGATATCATAATTGTAAATAAACATCATTGTAGATATAGATAGACTATAGATATATATATATATATTTACATCTATACATAGTATATAATATTCTTTTTTTGCGCATCTGTTAAGCTGCAGAGAATATTATTTAGTCTATTTCTATAATTATATAAATAGATATATATATATACACCATCTGAACATAGCCATGGAAAATCAGCATTTTTAATCGGTAAACCATCTATAAATGGGCCATTTTCCATGGCTAAATGGGCCATTTTCCATGGCTATGTTAGTCATAACCAGAGGGCATACATACCGCCAACCAGCCGCGTCAAAATCTAGACCCTTCCCCTGCTTCCATCTTTTTGCGAACGATCCCTGAATCTTGGATGCTAGCAGAAGACCAAGCTCTGGCGGAAAGCCTCAACTTCTCAAGTCGCGGCCCAAAAAAAAGCTTTTTTTGGTCAACAAGAACTGGTTGGTTGTATACCTACCCCTCTGAAACATTATGAAAGTCAAATGGGATTATTGTTCTCAATATATGGAAAAATAGAATTGATGTTCCAAACCACCAACTAGAGAAGGAAGGAATCTTCAAATTTACTATGTGGTAAACTGTGTAGCTATAGCTCCTGAAAAGCTCCGCTAGTGGAAAAAGTCAGCGCGCAGGCTTTGGGGTCTTCTGGGGGTGCAGCTCCACTTCAGAAATACATGGTCATTTGTTGCTGTAATATGCATTTTCATTCTAAGGGGACCATCTGCCGACTTCAGGCGTCACACATCAACCATTCAGAGATGACTATCCCATATTTTCCCCCTCATATCCCTTATCATTCTCCCATATTTATCATACATTTTCCACAGTTCTGGGTAAATCATACTTCCCAAAACCTGAATTTTTGACGATTTTCTCGTTGGTGGTATACCTACCCCTCTGAAAAATATGAGTTCATCAGTTGGGATGATGAAATTCCCAACTGAATGGAAACAATAAATTGATGTTCCAAACCACCAGAAAAGCTTGCTTCAATTGGTCATGTTACCTCTTTATTTCCCAAGCTTCCCAGCCTTGTTGTGTTGGGAGCAGCCCTTGCAATCGTTTTACCAATGGATCTCCAGCATTCTGAACCAGGCTTTTCCAGGTATCGGATCGCCTCGTCGGCTGAGGTTCTGCAAACGGCACCAGTGGGGTTTTTCATATTTTTTCAACCAGTAGCATTGATAAAAACTACATATGAAAATGGTGAATACCAAAAGCAGAATATATGATAAACATAGAATATATGTTTTACCAAAAATACCAAGTAGCTATTCTTTATCAATGGTGAATATGGTACTTAAGCAACATAGGGGATTACATCACCAACCATAATGGGAATAAGAGAAGCAAGAAGAATGGGAATATCATGGGAGTGTCATGGTAATGCAATGGGAATAACATGGGGAAAAACATGGGAACATGTCATGGGAAGTTCACCAACATTGGGTCTGTCAAACTTCTATGCTACGAGGCAGTTGCTTGTGACTAATTTGAGTATATATCTATATCTAAAATATATTAATATAATATTCTATGAATCTACAATACACTATTCTGAATTCCATATATTTGTACAATACAAAGTGGTGCTTATCAGATATGTTTTTTGATCTATGTTCACCCCAACTGGTGGGCTAACTGGGGCACCAGCAGGGCGATTTTTCGACCTTGAGAAAAGAACTTGCCCGATATCAATGCTTAATCCAGTGGTTTTTCTGGTTCATTTTGGTGAACTCTAGCTAATTGTAATGATTATAATGGGTGATTACAGGGGGTTATTTGATGAATATTAACCCCATGATTAACAACTAATGAATATCAAATGCTTAATTCTTGGCTAATCATGGTAAATAATGGTAGGGGGTTGAGAACTGATGGTTAATTGTGGTTAAACCAGGCTTCATCAATGGCTAATATTGATAATGGGGCCATAGTTGTCTAATGAATAATCAAGGGCTATTTCTTGGTTAAACAATGGTGAATCATGGTTACTTGTAATGACTGTAGTGATAATAGTGGGCTAATGATCCTTGATCAATGACCGATTAGTTTCGGTGATATGTATAATATATATATATTGTGGTTAATCTGGCGGATAATCAATGGTGAATGATGGTGAATGATGGTAAATGAATAACCCATGGAGAGTCATGCTTCATTATAGTTGATTCTAGGTACTTCTGTTAATAAACATTATATGATCATTTGTCAAGGTGCCCCAGTTCCAAATCACTCAGTTGGTGCAAAGTTGCCTCAGTGAATTAACTATGGTTTGTGGTAGATATATCGAACTACTTCATAGGATTTAATAAAGCTATATGTATATATATATATATCTATATAGATCAGCGTAACTAATCATTGGTCATTGATCAACGATCATTCACCCACTATTATACCATAGCCATAAGTCATAAGTAGCCATAAGTAGCAATACTATTAAGTAGGCATAAGTCATAAGTAGCCATCAACCCACTATTATCATTACTATTTAACCCACAAGTAGCCACAAGTCACCATTGATTCAGGGGGGACACCACCGAAGGTAACGTTTTTGGTCAAACCATCGGTGGAGCTGGGTAGCAATTGGTCGATCCCAGAGATTGCCCACTTGGGGGTGCAGTTGAGGTTACACATAAATATAACTATAACCAACTAGTTTTATAATATATAATATATCCAACTAATAATAAAATAATATATATAATATATCCAACTAGGTCATTAAACCATAATATATAATATATCCAACTAGGTCATTAAACCATAATATATAATATATCCAACTAGGTCATTAAACCATAATCTATAATATATCCAACTAGGTTTATTCTTGGGCGTATAACCACCATGAACACTAATTGGATGTACCCTCTGGTAATTTGTTACATAGCTATTGAACATTGCCCATTTGGTTCGTTGATTTACCGGACTTAAAGATGGCGATTTTCCATAGCTATGTAAACGTTTACCCGAGGGTAAATATAACTAGAACCATGGTCATTAGCATCTAGTGAATATCTAGTGAATATATATATATATACATATTAAAAGATACCCTCTGGGAACCGAACAGTTGGCGAACTGGAAAATCACCATCGGTAAATCACTCTGCACGTTCCATTTTGAGTGCCATGGCTTCAATAGCGAACTCTTAAATAACCAGAGGGTACATGGAAAACTATAGCTTAATGGTTATTGGGATATACCCCCCTATAACTATGGCTGGTTGGTGCAATAACCATCTTGAAAAATATAAGTTCGTCAATGGGAAGGATGACATCCCATATATGAAATGGAAAATATATAAAACATGTTTGAAACCACCAGCCAGATGGTTATATCAGGTCATATCCACTTATAACTGGATCTGCATGCACTTCCAACAGAATCATTTCCCTCAGCCCATGTCAAGCCTCATCTCCAACCACCTGCAGGTCATTGATTATTCAGGCATCAAGGATTGAATGCTCCACTTCAATAATCAAGTGATGGGATATTGAACTATATGTTTAACCATATACATATATATATAGTGACGGGATAATCTGGTTAATCCACTTTAAATATCAAGTTATGTTGTTTGAGAGACGGATGATTTTCAGACCAATTATCAATGTGAAGTTTTGTTTTTCATATGGTTTTGTTTTTACTATAGGAGTAGCCCAAGTTCCTCTGGTGTTGTCATCAGTTTACCAAATTAAAAACTTTTCTGGGGAGCCTATAGGATCGAACATGTCAACAAAATACAAAGTGGAGTCTCCAAATCGGTGTTTGAAACGGTAAACATAACCAGGCTAATTGATTGGAGTTCATGGTGGCAATAAGTATATATATATACATATATATACATATTGTTTTTCTTAGCCAACAAACAAATGTTGGCTGCAAACAGAGTTGGGGTTGTCTCAAGTTGTGGGAACCCCTCCCAAAATACGATACCATGGTTTAGATGGTTTAGACCAAACGGAGGTTTCCTAAGTCATGGAAGTAACCCCAAAATCATCCAAGACATGAACGATATCTTGGAATTAGCATTTTTAAGCAAAGCGGTAACTTGCTTAGTGCTTCACTACCCACCGATCGTTTGGGTAGCTTAGTTCACCCCAGTTTTTTTTCGGTGGATTAAGCCTACTTATCCTAAAAGAACCGGGGAGATAACCCAGGCGTGGCTAGTGAGGCACCATCCGCCATGACGAAACCGGCTTGAAATCCGCCATGGTAAGATGGGACCTGGAAGATGATGTTTTGTACTCAAAAGAAACATTTTGAACAGGGAATTTTGGATGATTAGCCATAATTGGAGTTATGAACCCGCGTAAACGGGGGCACTAAAAAAGGTAGCTGCATTGGTTAGAAGTATTGTAAGTTACAAACCAACAATATAGGTATCATAAAATCAGCTATAAATCCCATTCAATTGTGAAATCCGCTATAAATCCCATTCAGTTCTCATTTTTGTTGTTTAAATTTTCGTTTTTCAGGATCAAAAAAATAACGAAAAAACCATCCGCGCGATCTGCTGAAATTGCTGCCGCCTCGCCGTTTCCGGCGTCTCCGGGGCAAGTCCTGCGATGGAGGTCATGGGGAGGATAAGCATTGGGATATGGCATGAGAAGAAATATAGTATTGCAATGGTAAAAGAAATTATCGTATTATCAAAGGAAGTTTAGAAGTCAAACTTCCGACAATATGGACAGATGAAACGCAGAGTAGGGCAGAGGCAGAGAGAAGAGAAAAGACTAGAAGAGAGAAGCGTAGAAGAGAAAGAGTCAGAAGAAAGAAGATGCAGATGCGCGAAAAGGTAGGAAAGTCGCGAAACACTGTGTTTTTCCAATGGTTTGAGGCTCCGGAGGGTCGAAAAGTAGGCTCGTTAAAGCGGCGGGTGCGGAGCCAGCTGGCCAGATGAGAGATGAAAAATTGCACGCCGTTGTGGCGCGAAGCACATTTCGAAGTCAAAATGTACAAAACACAATAAAACACACCATTGTCGGACCACTTTTGGAAGTTGAGATGTCAAAAAAGTGCACGCCGTTGTTGCGCGAAACGCATTTTGGCGCGAAGCACATTTCGAAGTCAAAATGTACAATACACACCATGCTCGGACCACTTTTGGAAGTCGAGATGTCGAAAAAGTGCACGCCGTTGTGGCGCGAAGCACATATCGAAGTCAAAATGTACAAAACACAATAAAACACACCATTGTCGGACCACTTTTGGAAGTTGAGATGTCAAAAAAGTGCACGCCGTTGTTGCGCGAAACACATTTTGGCGCGAAGCACATTTCGAAGTCAAAATATACAATACACACCATGCTCGGACCACTTTTGGAAGTCGAGATGTCGAAAAAGTGCACGCCGTTGTGGCGCGAAGCACATTTCGAAGTCAACATGTTAAAAACACCAGGGGTTCGGACCACTTTTGGACGTTGAGATGTCGTTCCGCGTGGCAGGTGCACGTCAAAAGGAAGACATATCGTTCAGATTTTCACTACACTCCACTACACTACATTACACTACACTACGCTAGACTACATTCCACTACACTACACTATACTACATTCCTCTACACTACACTACACTACACTACACTACACAAACTACAACTACAACTACAACTACAACAACAATACTACATTTACACTACGCTAAACTACACTACACTAATTACACTACACTACACTAATTACTGACACACATTCCATGCTGACACCTCTGGTGTCTAAAAGAAGCAGTGCATCTGCTCATGGCAGGTCATTAATTACTGGTTCTGAGCTTTTTCCTGCATCCATACTAAATCTCAATTAGCCCTTTTACAATTTAGTATTGGGAAAATCTGATAATTTGGGATTTTTCTGAAAATTATTTGTAGCTATTGCAAATGCAGCACAACTATTGCAGATGCTCTGGACCAAGATTGATGTCTGTAATTTAAAATCAATAAGGCCTAACTTAAAATCAATAGGGGCTGAAAAATCAGATTCTGAAAAATGATTTTTGGCTATTGCACGCGCTTTACTATTGTCCATCCAACATTTTATTGCTAAACATGGAGTTATATGTAAAAAAAAAGGTTGTATTGTTATATTATGTTATATTGTTATATCATAACATGTTTTATCCAGTATTTATGTTTTAACATTCGGCTAATATTCTGGTTGGTGGTTTTAACCATCTTGAAACACATTAGTCGGATTATCCCCATATGTTATGGAAAATAAAAGCAATGTTTGAAACCACCAACCAGTATTAGAGTTTCCATAGAAAAAAAACTCGTCCGGATAGGTTCGTGAAACTAGCCATCCGACGTCGGTCGGGGATGATCTCCCCCTATGTTTCATCACTTTTTCAGTAAAATCCAATCCCGATATCAATGGATAATCCAGTGGTCAATGGTGGTTAATTATGGTTAATTATGGTTTAATCCAGTGGTTTTTCTGGTGGTTAATTATGGTTAATTCTGGGAAATTGTAATGATAAAATAGTGATTATGATCCCCCATTCATACTAGCTACACCCCCATTCTACTTAGATGTGCCGTGGGATTTGCTAACTAGTTAGTAAGTGTGTTATAAATTACTTATTACTAACTACTTAACTAACTACTTATATCCCAATTATAACTTAACTAACTACTTAACACCATATATCCCAATGAAATAAGCCATAAAAACTAACTACTTAACTAACCCCATGGCCCATCTATGGTCCCAATCATGTGGATTCATCCCCTACATCTACCAGAGTATATCCCCAAACAGCGATTCTAACGAGAATCCAATGGATGGAATCGGGCAATGTTCATGGGATCCACTGATATCCCAATGTGTCATCATTTTTCAGTAGATATGTATATATATATATATATGTATATTTTCTAACATAGATAGATATAGATATAGATATAGACATAGATATAGATATAGCTATAGCTATAGATATAGGATGCAGTAAGCACCCCTTTGAATGGGTGTCCATTAAGCACCCCTTTGAACGTGCTGGTATATAGGAAGGCCCCCTAGTTATAAGCTTTATAACCCCATCTAACTATAGTTATAAGTATCATAAAGCAGAGTTGTTATAGTTATTGGCACCAACTTAGCTAACTATGGGGCCCCTTCCTGTATATATAACATATAGTACATATGTATATATATATATTAATATAAATATGCAAAAAAATAACTTCTTAGCTGATTAGTAGATAATCCCATACCAAAGGACTATTTTGGATTAGTTTCTAGCCATCTAAGATTGACCTAGACATTTAACCATAATCACTATAATCAACCATAATTAAGCATTGATTATCCACCATTAAACCACCATTATAACTACAACTCCCATGAACTAGTTCGTTAAATGGAATATATATATACACTTTCATATCATTGATAGATAGATAGTTATCTATATATCTATATATATCACTGTAAAAGCGAGTTATAACCCCACAAGCACCACAAGCAGTTGCAGTTTGATGGGTCCCGTTCATCCTGATCCAACATGGTGAAATCCACCGAAAATATCTCCATCATGTATCTATATATATATATATATCCACCATTAACCATTAATTATGAGCAACCCATCTATAGATATTTATCAATATAAATACCAAATACATATCTATATCAATATATCTAGATTAAAATATCAGTATCAATACCAAATATAAATTTGTAGCAGATATACCTTTATAACCATTAATTATGACTTGCTGGTGCTAAACGTAGGGAATGGATGGGTTGCTGGGGGAATGGGATGATTATTATTAGTGATTATGGATCATTCCCTCATTCCCTGCGTTTAGCACCATTAATTATCTGGTTGGTGGCATACCTACCCCTCTGAAAAATATGAAAGTCAGTTGGGATGATTCTTCCCAATGTATGGAAAGTCATAAAATTCATGTTCCAACCCACCAACCAGATTATATTATATTGTATTATATGATATGATATTATATTATATTATATTATGTAATATCCATTATTATTATCCATGAAATCATCCATTATTAACCATTATTATATACTATTACCAGTATCGTTCGGTAAAAACCATGATAAACCAACCATGACTGGGAATGGTTATACCACTAACCAGATGGGGATCCATTATTGTTATCCATCATTAACCATTATTAACCATTACTAACAATTATTATATACTATTACCCATTCAACATGGGTGTTAATTTTCCATATAAATCACCATTTTCCAATGGTTTTCCAATGGTTTTCCATATAACCACCAACCAGTTATGACCAACCCATCTAATGTCAACCCTGGATTAATAAACCCATAGGCTGTTTAATTGGGGTGGTACCATTTAAGGACTATGGATTATGACTATTGGAGGAGTACCCCCCTAATTAATAAACCATGGTTTAGCAAAATCCGGGGTTGACATTATTGAAAGGGGAAAATCATAGCTGGTAAATAGATGTTCATCCCACTAAAATTGATAGTCATAGGTTTTGACCCAACCCCATATTTGCTTCTCCATTGGGGTCATCCGTCCCCGCCCTCGTCCACGCCCCCGTGGGATCCCCCGTCCGAACGGCGCACCGAGTAGGGGCTGGGCGGAGGCGCAGCCTCGACGTCTCGACGTCGAGAAAGACGTCGCAAAAAGGCGGAGACCAACGAAAAATTGGTGATTTCCATGGGAATTCTATGGAATTTCATGGGAAATCATGGGAATTTTGATGAAGTTGATGATGATTTGATGATTTTTTTGATTTTTACTAGGATTTAAAGGGGATTGAGCGGGATTCGAATGGATTTTAAAGGTTATTTTGGGGTGAATTATAGGTGATTGATGTTAGCTAACTTGGTGTTTCACCAACATTTCACTAGGGTTTACGGTAAACACATCGAGCTAGCTAACGGGGTGAAGTTGGCTTATTTTACGAACAAGTCTCTGTTGGGTGTATGGTAGGTATATCAAACTAGTTGCGAACTAGTCAATGGGGTTCACAATCCAACACACATACCCTCCGGTATTCAAAGATGGCCATGGACAATTCTTTTAGACATGAGTTTCCTAATAACTAGAGACCTCCATTAATCAGGGATTTTTCAGCTAGCCACGTTTGATGACCGGAGGGTGATTGAGGGGTCACTACCTTGTAGCAACCCACCTGGCTAACTTCCAACGGAGACATGTGCCTGAAAATGTGGTAATATGTGGGTAAAACAATGTCAAAAACCACCCATGACTGGGAATTGTTTCAATCCCACCTAAAAAAATGGTGACGACTGGGGATGGTTTATGAAATTGTTTTAGCCACATTATACACTTGGAATGGTACTTTTCTAGGGAAAGTGATGGTTTACCAGTAAATTTGGAGCTACCCTATTTTCAAACAAACTCATGGATGGATTAAATCCTATATGATGTTTATTGATTTCCACCAAAAGTCCATGAACATCCATCAGAAGCTATTTATGGGAAATCCATCCAACTAAATCATTGAACTCCATGGGATTGCCGTTGACATCCCATAACATTCCATTGAATTTCCATTACCCTCTGGTAATGACTAACAGTTTGCTATTGAAGCCATGGCCCATAGAAATAGTTGATTTACCGAACTTAAAGATGGTGATTTTTCATAGCGAACTGTTAGTTTACGAGAGGGTAATCATGTTAATCAGTGGTTAATCCGTGGTTAATCAGTGGTTAATCAGTGGCTAGTTACTGGATGATAGATTATAATAGATTAATAGTGGGATGACATTCATCCATATTCATCCTACATCCAGCCAACTCTATCCAGCTCTGGTAATTAAACATAGCCTCTGGTTATTTAACATAGCTATGGAAGCCATGGCCCATAGAAACAGATGATTTTCCCAGCTAGAAACCTCCATTTATAATGGATTTTCCATAGCTATGTTAGTCACAACCAGATGGAAATTAAGTCTATATACCCTCTGGTAAACTAACATAGCTATGGAAAATCCACCATTTTTTAATGGGAAAATGATGGGAAAACCATGAGAAAATGGTGATTAAACATAGCTATTGAACCATTGCAATCGGCCAACCTCCGTCTCAGTGTCGCCGCTTTCAGCAGCGGTGTCGTTACCGCTGCCAGTGGTGCCATCACCGCCTGTTTCATCGCAATAAACAAAAAAAGGGAGATTTACAATTATTGGTATGATAGAACTATATGGATACTGTAATTATTTTTTTCTACGGCCCTTTGGGACTATGCTAGTCGCGGCGAACTGTGAATTCTAATGGATAATTATATATATGTATATGGATATATCTGGTATATTGGAAACCAATCAATTTCTATCCAAATTGCAATGTTGGGATATAATCCCATCCCACATTCATATTAGCTACACCCCAATTCTATGGTCCCCAATATGTGGAAATCCCCTTAAAAAAAACATGGTTTCTTGGGGTGTTTCATCTTAGGGGGATGAAATTGATGGTTACATCATGGCTGCATCATGGATTCAAACCAGTCATATCCTCATTGAATAATCGTTATATCATGGCTGTATCATGGTTACATGATGGTAAAAACTTGTCATGTTTGAATCATGGTTATACAATGGTCCTATAGTGGTTTTAAACTTAGCAAATTCATCTAGTAATGAATTTAGTAGTTTGTTGGCTAAATTGGTCTACCACAGTTCGAAACTAACATATCTAGGGTTTATGGTAGATAATATGTATATATATATATATAATACGTACTGGGAGCAGAATGGAATCGTAATGGGACACCAAGATAATGACAATTTATGTTTTTTTTGGGGTGTCAAGAGTTTGAACAATGAACCAGCGAAAAACTTTTGACAGGGCCACAATAATTATACCAGTTATATCATGGTCATACCAATCCCAATTAATGCCCACTGGTAGTATAACGCAGGTTGTTTTTGCATCAACCGAGGCCAGGATTTGGAAATCGTGAATATGATTGGCTCAAAAATCAGACATGATGAGGGTCTGGGAGTTTGGAAGATATGGAAGATGCTTGAGCAGCAAACAAATGGGGATAGCAGAGATTGCAAGGTGCAACTAAACTGGAGGTATAACTATAGTGGGGAGTTGTAATGATTTACGATAGCTAAGTTGGTGAGTAACATAACTAAAACTTATGGTAGATACATCGAACCAATTACATCTAATTACTGTAATAAGGCAAAGATAAACCAAGAAACATAATTAGGGGGCAGCACCTTTCACGTTTGTTCAGATTCAAATCCGACATCTCACATTCATGCAGAAAAAAGGTCAGGGTCAATGAACCCAAAACCATCATATCCCAGTCTACTATGGATTGTTACCAATAGCTAGCAAATGGTGCAGGATTCTGTTCATCCACAGTATCACCAGCATATCCTTCAAACAAACACTCATTGTTGCTGTCAGTTTTTTCATCATTTTAAAGACCAAACCCAATTCACACAGCTGACTATATATACATACATATCATATGTATACATCATTAACTGGTTGGTGGTATACCTGCCCCTCTGAAAAATATGAGTTCATCAGTTGGGATGATGAAAATCCCAACTGAATGGAAAGTCATAAAATTCATGTTCCAAACCACCAATTAATGGATAGTATCCCCATGATATTCCAACGGATTCTATGACGGCTACATCCCCATGTCCTCAAGTATATTCATTGCTCCAAGTCACCATTTCTGTTCCATAGAATTCCATAAAAAGTTCCACTAAATCCCAAAAAAAAACCCACTAAATCCCACCAAAGTCCCATTAAATCCAACAACAGCCCCATTAAATCCCATCAAACTCCCATTAAATCCTATAGAATCCCAATCTTTGAGGCTCCTTAAACCACCAAACACCCGCCCGCCCCAGCCGTTTCCTTCAGACAGATCTCCTTCAGAGACGCTACTTAAACCGTCCGAAGCGGTATCCACCTGGGATTTGTTCATGGGATAAATGGGATAGGATCATGCGATCATATCGGTTATATAGTATATATATAGCATATATATATGTATATATGTATATATATGTATATATATATATAGCATATGATTACATTCGAGAAATACTGGATTTATATATATATATATATAATTTATCTATGTATACAAAATTACATGTACACATATATTTTAATATATTATACACTGCATTTGAGTGGTTACCTCTAGTAATCAGTCAGCTGGCCCATCTTCGGATATTCCCCAAAACATCCATCTAGCGGTGATCTCAGCTGCAGATCCAGTTAAAATTGAGGGAAAACAACGCATGTACACCACTGGTTGGTGGTGCAATAACCATGGTTAATAGTGATTAATAGTGGTTAATAGTGGTTATTAGTGATTAATACCTGATCTAATGAATAATATATCTGGTTGGTGGTTTTAACCATCTTGAAAAATATGAGCTCGTCAATGGGAAGGATGACATCCCATACATGAAATGGAACATAGAAAATGTTTGAAACCACCAACCAGACCAGTTTATAACATGTGCTGGATTGCACTTAAATCATCTCAAACCTCCAATGCTAGATTTCAGTGTCTCAACCTCTGCTTTCTTATATGTCATTGCTACAAGAATTTGAATATAGTAGAAGAAATTTAAGGTAGGTACCCTCTGCTGGAAGAAATCCAGTGACAGAAGTTTTTCGCACCAAAACAAAACAATAACATATCCCACTACCATGTTTCATAAAACATGGCAACTATTTCGATTAAATGTCCAGCTGATCTGTGATGATGGGCTACCACATATAACTTGGTTGTTTCACACCTTGAAGCCGTAAACTGATAGAAAAACAATCATTGGGGCATTTATTATGAAGGCCTCCCCTGCAAAACGAGGTCCATGATTTTCTGCGGTTTCCTGCCCATTTGCCACAACTCCAATAGCAACTCCTTTCAAGTCCTTCTAGCATGACCAACAAATAGATGCGAGAGAGAACCAGCTTCATAGACATGGCCAATCGTATATACTCTGCAACAAATCTTAGCTGGTAAGATTCAAACATCTCCATGTTTAGAATAAACATAACGTACATTATTGTAAACTAGCCGTCCCAGATTCTCAATAAACACTATTTTTTCCATATAATAATTAACTAAGCTGTTTTAAGTTCGGCCATTTTGGGATCAACCTGGATCTTGTTCCCATACTTTGCGATTGACATTGGAATCCAAAAATCTCCACTTCGCACCTCCAGGGGTGGTTCTTCAACCACCTGACGAGATATGAAAAACATGCCTGGCCAGGTCAAAACCACTGGTGATTTAACAGTTAGTTATGCTATAGATGGCCCATTTAGAATATTTGTGAATGATGATTATGATGATTTACCCAACTTCTAAAAATGCTGCTTTTCTATAGCTCCGTGAAAAAACCAGAGGCTAATGTACAAGAATTCAATAATCCCTTCCCTCTATTACTAAACCCCCCCGAATAATAAAAACTAGGGTCCATCTCCAATTTTGGAAAATTTCAGGTTGGCCAATTTGACTTTTAATTGATCCCCTTTAGAAAACTATTAAAAATTAAAGTTATATACTATTTGTGGGTTTCACCGCTTCACCCCCTAATAATAAAAACTAGTCAACCCCGGGGTGTTTTTAATTAGGGTACGTCCGATTTATTTTTTTTTAAATATTTAGGTTTTAACTTAATATCAGGGGGAAGCTTCGAAATCCAATTTTTGGCAATATTTTAATTGGGTTATAAAAGGAAATTAAAATCGATTTTGAAATCGAAAAAAAAGGGTTTAAATTTATGATTAGGGTCCGCTTGGAAATCCAATCTTTGGCAAGATTTTAATTGCGTTATAAAAGGAATTTCATTGATTTTGAAATCGAAAAAATAGTTCATTTTATTAAGGGTTTTAATTTATTATTAGGGTCCGCTTTGGTTCCCTAATAAAACATATACCACCCTAATAAAAACTACCTGAAGTGTTTATTATGTGGGGAGGGAGGGTTTAGTATTAGGGGGAGAGGATTAATTAATCTGCATTCTTTGTTTACGAATGAGGTAAACCCAATGCAATAAACCATCCCCGTAATCAACCATAAAAGGGGATCGTACTGGGGGTCTGAATTGGGGATAGTCTATGGCGGTTTACCTCCTTGTTGACCAACAAATGAACAGGGTGCAGTTGAGCTTACCATTGGGTATGCCGTTATCACCATGGTTACAATCCCCCCAGTTGTCAATGGTAATTTCAGGATCCTAAAATGGAGGTACTGTACCATATAAGGTCATATTTTGTGAGGATATTCCCTTACATAGGCCTTATATATGCTAGGTACCTCCAATTTAGGTTCCTGAAATGGCCGTTGAAGTTGTGATATAGGGCCTGTATGACTATGATTGTATATCCACTTGGCCCCCCCGGGAACTGCACTCCCCAGGGGCTTGCATATTTTTTGGGGGATGAACACCAATGTTCCGGGATTTGCTGACTGCCCGACTCATGGCTTTTCCTTGTGGTCAACCAAAGGCCAGAAATATGTCACTTCGTTAGTGATTTACCCCAGCATGTTGGGCTGTTGGAACCTTCCAAACCATGTTGGAAAGGACATCTGCAATTCTTATTATTTCGTTGATAGAAATCAGCTGCGCTGGACAGCGCCCTTCAAAAAAAAGGGAGAATACACATATTGTACATGCGTATGTATTGTACATATATATATATATATATGCACACAAATATTATAGAAATATATTTTATGATATGTAAAATACATATATGTATATATTAAACATACATAAAGAATCATAGAGATATGTGGAAATGGCTTCTTACTCAGTGGCATAACCCTCCAAACACCCCCCAAGCGGGTTGTTCGGCCTCTCCTAAGGACTGACCAAAGGATTCCTTGGAACACTGAAACCTGGCATGGCTGGTGCTGGTTTCGAGCTCCAATTTATCCAACAAAAATGGGGATTAAATGAGCCATAGCAGAAATATCATGGGATATTTTGAGGGAATCTTTGAGGCATAAACTAAAGACAAACCAGAAACTGAACTCATATGTCCATCCGGGCTTACGTAGTGCCTGCTTGGATCATATGGGGATCAAGTCGCGACGTCGCCCGGCGCCGCCCAGCAAATCCCAGCAATGCTGGGGGGATTGGGCACTTAAGATAGTAGTAAGCTGATTAGATTCTATGTATGGAATATCGAAGCCTTTTTTCATGGCTTGGTGAAGCACTGAAAGATAATGTTTAGCACATCCAAGTAATCTTAGATACCCTAAATACCCTTCAAATATCACTTTCAGCAGGATAGGATTACATATTGCCATCAAAATAGTACAAAAAAACTCCTAAAGCGAAATCTTCACCAGCCAGATCACTCGTGCCCATAAATTCGTGCTTAAAATTCATGCCATTTGTTTGTTCAACCGCATGTTTTTATGGTTTTTCATGGTGAAAAAGGGGCTACCCGGCTATTGCCAAGAGCTACATGTTTTTTTGGTCAACTCCCAAGTTGTCGGCTGGCAAAATCACGCTACAAGGTGGTGTCACCCCATTCTATTACCCAATTAACTATAGATATATATCCCATAAACAGTCCATAAACCATACTTAACCTATTTGCACCAACTTAGCTATCGTAAACGGGGTCACCAAAATTAACTATAATTTACCAGTGTTAACCATTGATTAACTATAATCAACCATACGTGGTGACTCATCCCACTTACTAAATAGGTTATATCCCCGGTTCTAAATGGGATAAGTAGGGTGAATCCACTTACAACTGGGGTTATAACATGTTATAACCTAGTTACTAAGTGGGATAAACCACCAAGATCACCAAGTAGTTAACCATCGATCCACTATGATCAACCATAGTTCACCCAAGAAATTCCATGAGTTCCTCCAGCTTTGCCCCATTGCATAGGCCGCACCAGCGCTTGAAGAGCTTCTTGCGGATGCAATTCGTGGCTGTCGGCCGCGAGGCCTCACATGTTGAAGCAGAACCCCATTGAAGCAACGAACAAATGACAATAAGCCTTGAGAGTGTGCCCAAAAAGTGGGAATATGCCATAATGATCCATAGTATATATATATATACATACATATACATATATATATATATATGGGGTGACCCTTATCAAAACCCTCAAAATCAGAAAAGCGCCTGTGAACTGATGGAGCATCAGTTGACATGGCGGAATGACTTCCACGACAAATGGAGATGAAAACAGTTTGAAACCCTGATTCAACTTGGCCAAGATATGTAAATAAAAGCCAATAAATATCTGGCAATGTGGACAATAAACCAATACAAACGATTATAGAATCCAAATACCACTTGGATACCCGAAGATTCTTTGTTCTTGCGTCAAAACCGCATACACACCAATGAACATAGGTATATCAATAGCCAGTGATGCTAGATTTTCATTGTATATACAGGGAAGGTTGACAACCAAAGACACAATCATCAACCATGATTGATTTCAACTAATTAATCCCCAGATGTTCTGGTTGGTGGTTTCAACCTACCCCTCTGAAAAATATGACGAATCGTCAGTTGGGATGATGAATTTCCCAATAGTCTGGGAAGTCAAAAAATTCATGTTCCAAACCACCAACCAGTAATGAAATTAATTGCAATTATCTCCAGTTTTTCCATAGTTTTTCCAAACCACCAACCAGTGTTTGATCATTTTTGGATAGAAATCCCCACGTAAACTTTGGTGAAGTTCCTTTTGTCATCAACAGGGGTGTCTGCCACTGCAGCCACTGGGTTCTTCCGGCAGGATTCAGATTGAGTAATCGCTTCAGCAACGTCTTCAACCTCGTTGCCAGTGGATGCTTTGCAGGAGCAAATTCGTGATGAAAAACATTGAAACACGGCATGATTATCGGAAAGAGAGGTATGCAGATTTGAAGTCGATCCATATAATCCATTTAACTGCGGTGATTTTTGTTCTTTATGTTTAAAACGATGTTTTTTTCTCCAGTGAGGTCAAAAATTCCCATCATCCCATCCCCATTGCCATCCCGGCTTCACCGGTACTCGAACATGGCTGGCTGGAAATCTCCGAACGAAATCTGGTTGGTGGTTTCAACCACCTACCCCTCTGAAAAATATGACGAATCGTCAGTTGGGATGATGAAATTCCCAATATATGGAAAAAAACATGTTCCAAACCACCAATATATGTAAATGGAGGTTTAGTTTTCTGGAATCATCAACTATGGGAAATTTCCAGCAAACCACGTAGAAATTACTGGAGGGTCACTGCTTCGTACGATGTGTATATATATATACATGATGATCATTATACATCCCCTTTTATGGATAAAGATTCAAGATGATTCAAGTGCTATAAACTACCCATCTAAGGTTTACCCAGTTATATCCCCGTCTTCAATTGTTTTTCCAGCAACAAATCTAGTTTTTGTTTGGCCAAAATCCGTCGGATTCTGGCTGAATTGTAGTAATTCGCTAACCTGAACAGATGTTATCATACCGCCGTTTGGGGATGATTTCCCATATATATATATGTATATATATATATCTGGGCAAATTATAATATTTCACTAACCTGAATCTTGCGGCCATTTGGGGATGGTGTCCCATATAAAAACCATGATTCCAGTGAGGGAGAACAGTGAGGTCGTTCTAATTTACCCATATATATATTTGTAATATACTATATATATATGATATTTCTTAAAAGGTGATTAAAGGTGATCCCCAAAAACCCTGGCTTTGAATATTAAAACCATCATTATAACCATCATTACATAAGGTATGTAATGTAATGTAATGTCATGTAATGTAATGTAATGTATTGTAATGTTTGTATGTATGTATGTATGTATGTATGTAATATGTACACATACATAAACCATAAACCATCATTCCAGTGACGTGAGGACTTCAGGTCATCATTTTTCTTTTCCCACGAAAACATGTCCCTTTTGGTTGGTTGGCTCAAAAATCGAATGAACAAAACTCGCTATATATCATCGTATTCAAATAATACATATATAATATATGTGTATATATATAATATATATATATATATACATATTTCAGTCATCCTCCCAAAAGTTAGAACAGTGAATTCTCACAATTTTACTAGAATTTTACTTTCTATCTTTTTTGGGGGTCACTATACATAAATATGAAAAGTATTGAACACTCAAACTGCTTGCAACTCACTCATGCAACACACTTACAAAAAGCAGCTGCGGCTCTCTTTGCACGGGAGGATTTCATGTGTCTGGCTTCCCTTTCTCTACATCAGAGACTTTCACATCACCAGAAAGCAACAAGGTGGTGCCCCATAGTTAGCTAAGTTGGTGTTTTCTATCTCCAATTTCATTGTGGTTTATGGATGTTTATGATAGATATACCATGATATACCTATACTTTTCATGGCGGCTTTCTAAACCAACGTTCACATCACTGGGGGGGTAGCACCTTGAACCAGTATCGTATCGCCCCAAGGGGGATAGGTTGCGATCATCCCACCGTCCTCGTGGTTAATCGGTTCCGGGTGATCACACGGATCCAAAGTAGACCCATGGATCATGGTTGGTGGTAAGCTAACCATGTGGTTAATGATTGTTAATATATGGTTATTATATGGTTAATGATGTTTAAAATGGCTAAACTAACTCTGGTTGGGATATAATCCCTAGAACTATGCTTATAAATGGTAAATATATAATCATGATATATCTGGTTGGTGGTGCAATACCCATCTTGAAAAATGATGGACTTCGTCAATGGGAAGGATGACATCCCATATATGAAATAGAAAATAAAAAATGTTGGAAACCACCAACCAGAACTCCACAAAGCACTTCCTAAACTCCACTCGGAATAAGAAATCGTCCCCCAAAAGTGGCTAACTAGATGACTACCTAGTCACTTAGATGATCTTCCAAATGGAATAAGCTAAGCTAACTAGTCACTTATACCCTCTGGTAAACAAACATAGCCATTGAAAATAGCCATTTATAGTGGATTTACCAATTAAAAATGGTGATTTCCCATAGTGATTTCCCATAGTTATGTAAACGTTTACCAGGGGGTAAATCATGTTAAATACTCATTTTGAATCATTTTGAATGGTTAAATCACCAGTTTTCAATGGTAAAAATCACCATGAAACCAGGCCGGGTATAAGTTGGATGTTTATGCCTACGGCAGGAAAACCGTACGTGCGTTTTGCTTCTTTTTTGAGTATTGCTCTTTGTCTTGGGGTTGGGGTGGGGTGGGGTGGGGGGGCATGTTAACGTTCCTTGTACTTCGTACATGATATATTGCCATGTTGCTAAGATCTCTGGGATCTTTTACTACGTTACGTGTTGCTACGCTGCTGAGATCTCTAGTGTGGGTTGGGGTGGGGTGGGGTGGGGTGGGGGGGCATGTTAACGTTCCTCGTACTTCGTACAGGATATATATTGCCATGTTAGTGTGGGTTGGGGTTGGGGTGGGGTGGGGTGGGGGGCATGTTAACGTTCCTTGTACTTCGTACAGGATATATTGCGATGTTGCTAAGATCTCTGGGATCTTTTACTACGTTACATGTTGCTACGCTGCTGAGATCTCTAGTGTGGGTTGGGGTTGGGGTGGGATGGGGTGGGGGGCATGTTAACGTTCCGCGTACTTCGTACAGGATATATTGCCATGTTAGTGTGGGTTGGGGTGGGGTGGGGTGGGGGTGCATGTTAACGTTCCTTGTGCTTCGTACAGGATATATTGCGATGTTGCTAAGATCTCTGGGATCTTTTACTACGTTACATGTTGCTACGCTGCTGAGATCTCTGGGATCGTTTACTACGTGACATGTTGCTACGCTGCTGAGATCCTTGGGATCGTTTACTACGTGACATGTTGCTACTCTGCTGAGATCTCTGGGATCGTTTACTGCGTTACATGTTGCTACGCTGCTGAGATCTCTGGGATCGTTTACTACGTTACATGTTGCTACGCTGCCGAGATCTCTGTGATCGTTTACTACGTTACAGGTTGCTACGCGTTATGAGTGCCATAATGGCAACTTGCTGTCGAAGACAGCTTCCACACTGATGGATCGCTGAGCCGACGAAGAGTGTGAAAAAAAATCTGCGCATCCACGTCTGATGCACATGATGTTTACCTGGATTTGTTAAAAATCAATAGATTTTGCATCCACTTTTTTTAACCCAAATTCAGTTATCCAAACTGATCGGAAGAGCATTTTATATTGTAAATTACAGGTGATTGTGACTCTCCTGGAAACAACCAATCAAAACGCTGACGCGGTTTCCCTTCCGCCGGGATGTTTATGGCCATAGAAATAGTGGATTTACCCTTGAAAAATAGTGATTTTCCATAGTTTTTTGTAAACGTTTACCAGAGGGTATATTATATATATATTTACATATTTACCCCAACTATATTGATTATATCATCTTATATCATCCATAGTTAATCAGTGGTTAATAAGTGGTTATCCATTACCAGGCCGGGTATGAAATGGATGATCTTCCAGATGACCAGCTCCAAGTGGCTCTGATCCAACGGCAGGCGCGATCTCTTTCTGCACCTCGACCGTACCGAGTGCACCGAGTGCACGACGGATTTGGCCCGGAGCCAGGACATGGATACAATGTGGGGCCCCCCCAAACGTTATAAGTTGGTTAACAAAAACCCCAGAAACTAGTTCGTTATTTGCGTACCATAAACCATAGTGACATTGGAGTTATTGGCACCAACTGAACGCTATCGAACGGGGGCCCCACTTTGTATGATTAGTAGGATATATGACTAATAACCTGATGTAGTAGGATATACTGTGATATAATAGGATATACTAATATGTGTATATATATATGTATATATTATTGGATATATGGTTCAGCGCGATATGTAAGGGTTATAATGGTTGTACAATGCTTAAAGTGGGATACAATATGCTCATGATAGCTATAATGGGATTCAAGTTGATGTTAAACTTCGGATGTAGTTGGTGTTACTTGGGGGTTACTTGCAGGGTGCAGGAGCCAGGCAGTAAGTGATGGGTGTAGGGCTAGTTCGCTCAATCATGGGATAACCCCACTAGAGGGAATTATTGACCAGGCTTGCCCTAGTAAGCGGCGAAAACCATATTATGAGCTAGTTCTATGTGGAAAATCACCAGGTGAATTATAACATTTACTTATTTACAAACTGGGATAATGATCCACAAAGAAAAGATACATTATTCATGATCAGGATCGTTCTATATTTTAAGCTAAACGGCTGAATTTTGAAGCCGCCAATGGCCGTTTTCGAATGTCTTGGCAGTTTTCGACATTCTCCAGTGGAGATCTGGGAAACTCTGATTGGGATTTCTCATTATTTGGGACCACCCGAAAAACGACATTATTATGGTTAATGTACTGTTAATAATGGTTAATGATGATGGTTAATATATGGTTAATGATGGTTAATGATGATGGTTAATGTTGGTTAATAACATTTTCTGGTTGGTGGTTTCAAGGTCTACCCCTTTGAAAAATGATGGACTTCGTCAATGGGGTTGGGATGACATCCCATATATGAAATGGAAAATCAAAAATGTTCCAAACCACCAACCAGTTTAGTATAAGATTCTAATTACTTGTCTATCTTGTTTGGGGGTACTATATAATACTATATATATATACACCATCTGGTTATGACTAACATAGCCATGGAAAGATCCACCATTTTTAAGTTCGGTAAACCATCGAACTTTCTATGGACCATCTATACCATGGCTATGTTAGTCATAACCAGAGGGTACATTCTATAAATGGGCCATCTATACCATGGCTATGTTAAATAACCAAATGGTATATATAATATCTGTCCAATTAACCATGTCCACATCAGCTCTAGACATTATTTGCAGGGATTTCTCGATTGCCTGAGCGATGCGGCCAGGATTTGCTGGTTATATCGTAGCACAGGATGGAGAAAGCCAGTGATGTGAACGTTGGTTCATAAACCATTAAACCCCAACCCCCATGATTTATAGTTCGTTACATCTACCATAAACATCCATAAACCATCCATATAGATGTGATTAACCATCCATATAACCATTCTGGGTAAATTATAATATTTCACTAACTTGAATCTTGCGGCCATTTGGGGATGATTCCCCTTACTAACCATGATTCCAGTTAGGTCGCAGTGAGGTCGTTAAAATTTACCCAGACCATTATAACTCCCATTATTTATAGTTTGCTAAATCTACCATAAACCATATAGAAATCAACCACTTTTCTGTTCGGCAACTGAACGCGAGCTCGTTTCCGGCCCCATCCAGGTGAGTATATTCTCGGCATTCCAAACAATTCTTGAACTATCACAACTGGGAATCTTTTTTGGAATATTTTCATAGGAATATCATAGATTTACCCTCTGGTAAACTAACACAGCTATGGAAAATCACCATTTATAGTGAGTTTTCCCTTGAAAAATGGTGATTTTCCATAGTTATGTTAGTTTACCAGAGGGTAACCTATTTGAGTAGTTAACCTCTGGTCAATAGACTTGGCTTGCAGGAAAATCCACCATCTATGGATGAATTTGCCAGCAGAAAACACCTTGATTTGTGAGGCCAATTCCAATGCGATTTTTGAGGCCAGGGGAGAGTACATAGTTGTAAAAAAAGGAATATATGGAGGTTTCCTGAAATTGGGGTACCCCTAAATCATCATCCACTTCAATAGTTTAGTTTAAGATTTTCCATGAAATAAACCAACCAGCTATTGGGGAACCCCCATTTGTGGAAACCTCCATGTGTGACTAGGACTCCTAGGACCTAGGAGGGTTTTTAAAGATACTTCGGGTTGACTTCGCTGGAAATTTCATGTACAGCTCAATTTGGGTACCATAATTTTCCAGTGGCCACTTCATGTTTAGCAGGTTCGCATTTCATCATTCAAATTGCCATCAAAATTAGAGTTATCACCCCATTTTCAGACACACCCATATCATATCTGGTTGGTGGTTTCAACCAACCCCTCTGAAAAATATGACGAATCGTCAGTTGGAATGATGAAATTCCCAATATATGGAAACTACAATTCATGTTCCAAACCACCAACCAAATATTATAAATGTATATCCCGTGATGCTGTATTCCCATACAATGGTTGGTTTAATTAACAGTTCATCCCATCGTTCACCCCATTGGTGAATGAAAAAAAAACGTGATCTTCCCATTGTTGAGCGTTCAGTTGGTACCATGGGAAAACCATGGGAACATGGTGAAAACCATAGGAAAACCATAGGAAAATTGAGAAAAACATGTCAAAATTCTGTATAAGTTGGTTTATAATAACTCCAATTTCATCATTTCACTATGGTTTATGGTAGATATATCTATACTTTTCATGGGGGTTTTCTAAACCAATAAACCAATTCATGGGGGGCACCGCCCAACGTATATCCAATGAACATGGAGAACATGTCCGACCATATCAAATCAGTGATACCGTGGACAAGCCATCCTGCACAAGTTGCTAACTATTGGAACCATATGGCAATATAGGATTCTGCGGTATCTGAATTACTAGTTAATATGGTACTTAACCAAGAATCATGGGGGATTCTAACCAACAATCATGGGAATAATGGAATAACATGGGAATAGAATGGGTAAATCATCGGATAAACTATCAAACAACTATAATAGAATGGTAATTTGATGTTGTAATAGAATGGGTAATGGGATAAACCATCAAAGAACTGGCGCAATATGTATTTAACTTTCCATTTCATCCGCTTTTTCATGGATTTGCCTTGCGAAACTCCGAGTTCCGAAAAAATAAATCTGGTTGGTGGTTTTAAGCATCATAACCATAGAACATGTGGTTAACATACTGTTAATCATAATGGTTAATATATTGTTATTAGTTATTATATGGTTAATAGTAATGCTGGTTGGTGGTGCAATAAACATCTTGAAAAATGATGAAGTTCGTCAATGGGAATGATGACATCCCATATAAGAAATGGAAAATAATCCAGTCATGTTTGAAACCACCAACCAGATAGTTGATTTACCCATTCAAAATGGTGTTGATTTTCCATATAAATCACCAAAAAAACCCATGGTTGTCCCATGATTTACCCCATGAAAAATCTATATAATCCTTAGTTTCCCAGCAAAAATCACCAGGGGAACATGTTCAAATACATCTAACATGTTCCCCTGAAAAACTTCGCGCCCAGTGGCCAATTTCTGCACCATATGCGAATCCTTCATGACCTGGGAGCATTGGTGAAGAAACCAGCTGGTAATTTATTAAACTATATTCCATGGCCGTTTTAGGAACCTAAATTGGAGGTACCTACCATATATAAGGCCTATATAAGGCCTATGTAAGTGAATATCCCCACAAAATATGGCCTTATATGGTACAGTACCTCCATTTTAGGATCCTGGAATTAAGGTGAAAAATGAAACATATTTCATAAATGTCATATATAACATATAATCCTTCAAGTAGCTGGCAAGTAAAATTATCTAGTAACAATTAACATCTAGATACAAGATACCATTGGATACAAGTAAAATCTGATTTTTGCAGGGTATCAAGTAACAAACATGGCCAATCTTAGCTACCCTGCAAAAAAAAAACCATTGATGCCAAAAGACTAAAGGAGTAAACTACCCATCTAAGATTGGCCTAGCAAATTCTTCGGTAGTAACTAATGCTTTAACGAATACAAAGCATGTTCATCAACCATTAGTGATTCACCATTAGTTATTCACTAAGTTTTTTTTCTCTGGTGTTCGATAAACATCGTTTGTTTGTTTGTTTGTTTATTTTTAGCTGATCTCTATGGCATTCTGTATTTTAGCTGGTCTTGATCAAACATCAAATGTTTCAACTACCCTAGGATCGAAAGGTATTTATAAACATGCCTTTGGCAGGATCATTCAAGACTGAAGACCCAAAAGAAACTGCAATTCTCTTTTTAGTAATTGCTTGTGTAGGACTGCCGACACTTGTAGGCTTGCAATTTTTCTATTTCCCCAAAAACTTGAGGCTCTTGACAGTAGCTCACTGGAACTCCAATGAAATCAGAATTACCCTCTGGTAAACGTTTACATAACTATGGAAAATCACCATTTATAGTGGATTTTCCCATGAAAAATGGTGATTTTCCATAGTTATGTAAACGTTTACCAGAGGGTAACCCCCAGTTATGTGTGTTGGTTTATAAACCCATCAACTCATGGGGTTTGCTGAGTGGGATCTAGCTGTGACTTACGATCACCACAAGAAGAAGCCCCCAAGTTATGTTTATTGGTTTTCATTCAATCATCCGACATTACATATATATATATATACACGAATGTATATATATATATATATGATTATATATATGATTATATATAACTAATCGGATTATATATATATATATGACTACATATATATATATATATTATGTATGTATATATATATATGTGTATATGTGATTACATATATACATATACCATCAAATTCACCCAGTTTTCACCAACTTTGCCGCCCACATCACTGGCCACTGGCTGTTCCGCCCTGTTTTTTTCGCCCAGCGACCAGTGCTCCCAGGATGCCATCCAGCTCCCACATGAACTGTCCAGTGCAAAGCCTGGTGCTTGGAAACGTGGGTCATGGCTATAGAATATCATGGAATACTACGTATGGTATATGGGTGTGTCTGAAAATAGTGTACCCCATTTTCCCAATGGTTTTGCTGATCATTATCCCTATTAAATGGCTATTTGTTTGGGAATATACCCTATTTTCAGACAAACCCATATAGATATATCATAAAATCTATGTACACATACTAATTTTCTGTGAAGTATCAACATCTGTATATATTATTATTACTATTATGAATGTTTTTATTGTATACACATATAGTCACACACATATATAATTATGTATGGACGACATGTTGGGTTTATATAAAAAGTTATAGTTATATATGTATACTGTATATTTGACTATGGTGTATGGGTGATATATGGGTCATCAACCGCTAGCTGACTGGAATGCACATCTAAGCTATGGTTGGCCGCGTTTCGCCTTTTTCGCGATGATTGATTAACCATGTCTGGCAAGTCAGACATGGGATGCCCCTATGAATGTGTGTGTGTGTGTTTTCTCATTCGGAAGCGTGTCAGACATCCCGAAGCCAGACTCGAACGAAGGATCATCCTTGCAATCCATGATTGGTTAATGATAGTTAATGATAGTTAATGCTGATTACCCTCTGGTAATGACTAACAGTTTGCTATTGAAAATGGCCCAGTCGAAATAGTTGATTTACCCATTCAAGTGGTGATTTTCCAGAGTTATGTAAACGTTGACCAGAGGGTAAATCATGTTAAATACCCATTTTGAATCACTTTGAATGGGTAAATCACCAGTTTTCAATGGTAAACATCACCATTACCAGAGGGTAACAGTATGGATTTCCTTGGGGTCCCATTGCCCCTCTGTAGAGGCGAGGTTTTTTTTTTCCAGATCCCAGGATTCGTGGCTGTCTCAGCATTGGTATAGCTAGCCCTAAGCTAATTGAAGATACCCGGCCTGGTAAACGTTTACATAACTATGGAAAATCACACCATTTTTGATGGGAAAATCCACTATTTCGACTGGGCCATTTTCAATAGCGAACTGTAACAAATTACCAGAGGGTAACTGTTTATATGATTTTATATGTGTCCAATGGTGAGACTGTATTACAATCTTTCCTATGCTGTATTACCCTCTGGTGAACTAACATAGCAATGGAAAATCACCATTTTTCATGGGAAAATCCACTATTTCTATGGCCATTTTACAACTGTCTCAACTGGACACATCTCCCAAGCTCGAAGGCAGTGAAATCATAAAGCCATTCATGGGATGATCCTCTGACTTGGTGTCCACTGGTGGACCTAGCCTAATGGTTAATATACTGTTAATATATGGTTAATATATGGTTAATATATGGTTAATATACTGTTAATGATGATGGTGAATGATGGTTAATAACATTTTCTGGTTGGTGGTTGAGCCCTACCCCTCTGAAAAATGATGGACGAATCGTCAGTTGGGATGATGAAATTCCCATATATGAAATGGAAAGTCATAAAAAGCCATGTTCCAGTCACCACCAACCAGAATATACTAGGTAATATCCATTATTATTATCCATCAATATCCTTTATTAACCATTGTTAACCATTATTATAGTGCCAAAAAGTCCCAACCAGCCTAAAAAATCTCGGCTCTTGGGCGCAAATTCACTGGATCATTTTACTCCGGACTTGATGACTTCTGCTTCAGAAGTCCCCACGAAACCATGCTATCCGAACTGCTCCGTGAACAGCGCGATTTTTTCCCCAGCACATCAGGAACTCTAGTGCTCCTCCAACGCGCCAGATTTGTGACTGAACTTCCATGGGAATCGCAAGCGATGATCGGTGCGGCTATTTCAACAAAACAGAGACGAAAAGACGAGGCCGGAGACAACAGTCACATGCAATGGCTTTACCTGCTCGGATTCTTGTTGAGTCCAGAAAATCGTCAGGCCACAAAAGGTTTTTTGGCAGTTGTACCCTCTGGTGAAGTAACATAGCTATTGAAAATGGCCATAGAAATAGTGGATTTTCCGATGAAAAATGGTGATTTTCCATTGCTATGTTAGTTCACCAGAGGGTAACTCACCACTCACTGGAGGAAACTCGAGGATCCCATGATCTTGTCCTGGAGGTTCACGGATCGTAACTCCGGGTTGTCCCCATGTCCTCAGTCACTCCACATCCGATTAATCTACTTGGGGGGTACATTTGAGGTCACAAATGAGTACCATGGATCATGGTTACACCCATAGGTTGGGATATAATCCCTATAACTTATGCTTTTAAATGGTATGTATAATCATGATATATCTGGTTGGTGGTTTTAACCATCTTGAACGATATGAGTTCATCAATGGGAAGGATTATCCCATATATTATGAAAAATAAAACATGTTTGAAACCACCAACCAGTATATCCACTTATAACTGAAACCGTACTTCCAAGCACTCCATTTGAAACAACCAACCACTGAGCCAGTCACGGTGCGAAAACTCACGGGGGTGATCCAGCATGGCATGACCGGGGAGGGGCTCAAAGAAAACAGCGATTTCCCTTGAGGCCCTCCCCGATCACGTCGGTGGTCATGGCGGTCATGGTCTGTTGCACCGTGGTCATGGGAACGGATTGGTCCATAACGGCTTGAGCCAGTCACCATGATATCCAGGATCTTTTTCATGGAAAGGACGGTTTGTCTGAAAAGTGGGTAATCTCTAATCCACTGGTTCATCATGCCTTTCCCTGTGAAAATGAGCATAAATGGAGGTTGTTTATGGCTTTTTCCGATGTTCTCCCAACAAATCCATAGATGGATCCTGTACTTCGGAACCAAAAAGAGGTAATGATTTGATGCCTATTTTTTAGCCCCGGCCCCAATGTGGGGCCTTCAAGTTATTTTATGTTGGTTTATAGACCCCATGAACTATAACGACCACAAAGTTGGTTTATCAAGTATAAGCTGGCTGGTTAGTGGTGGTATACGTATATGCCCCTCTGAAAAATATGACTTTGTCAGTTGGGATGATGAAATTCCCATATATTATGAAAAAAATGTTCCAAACCACCAGCTAGTTAATCTACTTACAAAGCAACTTAGCAAAGTATGGGGCCCCTCATGTAGGGGTTGATAGACTGATATAGAGCTTGTTAAGCCCAAAAACACAACACTAAAAAATTGGGGCTGCTACCTGATTGGGGTACATCGATGTTGCTCAGAAACAAGTGATTGGTAAGTCTGGTATGTCATGGTAGATTCAGTAGATCCCTTGCTACATCCTTACCCTCTGGTAATTTAACATAGTTAAATTCACCATTTTTAATCGGTAAGTCATCTACACGAGGTAGCCATGTGAAATTTCCGAAGGGGAATTTAGGTCGTGAAACTCAAAACTCGCTGACCAAGGACTTCGCTAATTCTACCAACATCTAAATATATCTTCCACGGGTATACCATGAACCAACCACGGCTAAGCTACGTGCTTTGTTTCGCTTTGATCCCCATGGTGGCTGAAACATGTTCCATCCGAAGTCACAAACCATGTGTGTCTTAAAAGAATTGGAACAAAACAATAGTGGCTGAAACATGCTTAAACTAACCCTTGACCTCTTTGATGAAAGTGTTTTTTGCAAAGCCAAAAAGAGAACGGACATGAAATCCTGGAATAGATTTCGGCATACTAAAAGTGTAGCCTCTGGTAATAGATTTCGGCATCGCTTTTTGGACATGTTTTTTCACAGAGGATTTTCCCAGCAGCCCGCCAGGTGTCATTACCAAAGGCGGGTAGCCGCTATTGGTCATCCCTTTTTGTGGCGAAAAATTCCCACAGATTTTGGTGAGTTTTACCAACCTGAGGTACCCTCTGGTGATTTGTTACATAGCTATTGAAAATTGCCATTCATAGCTGGTTGGTGGTATACCTACCCCTCTGAAAAATATGAGTTCGTCAATGGGAAGGATTATCCCATATATTATGGAAAATAAAATTCATGTTCCAAACCACCAAGCAGATAGTTGGATCTTTCCATATAAATCACAATTCTCCCATGGTTTTCCCATGATTTACCCATGAAAAATGGTGGATCTTTCCACGGCGATGTTAGTTCGTTTACCTCTTTTCTGTGTCATAGCCAGCACTTGGGTCACCCAACTCGTAGAGGATGCAGCCCAAAGACCACATATCAGCGGGCTTGCCATACCTCCACTGCCGGGGTTTCGCGGGCGAAGCCAAGCTGAAGCCAAGCTGAACTCATCTGCTGAATTCATCAAGTGATCCCATAGTGTTAGTTGATGTTAATTACCATGTGGGGCCCCCAAACGTTATAAATTGGTTTATAACCCCCATGAAAGTATAGATATATCTACCATAAACCATAGTGAAATTGAAGTTAAAAACCAACTTAACTAACAAACTGGGGCACCACATTGTAGTCTAATTGGTGGTATACCCACCCCGAAAAATGATGGAGTTCGTCAGATTGGATCATCATCCCCAATCTGGTTGGGGAAACTAAAATTCATGTTCCAAACCACCAACCAGGATATCATAGTGTTAGTTGAATGACATCCCATATATGAAATGGAAAATAAAAGTCATGTTTGAAACCACCAACCATAACGAACTGGGAAGATCCACCATTTTTCATGGGAAAACTCACTATTTCGACTGGGCCATTTTCAACAGCTTAGGTACCGCAGCTATGAACTCCTATGGCTATCTATGGCTATCTATATCTTTGGCATTGTTGGCCCAAAGACCCTACAAGACATCTGGCCGACTCACAATAATTCAACAAGCTGAAAGCAGTTTAGATCATACGGCCATTTGAGGATGATTGCCCGAATCCAGTTCTCATCATTCCAGTGAGGTTTATCCAGATTATAATTGGGTGATATAATCCGTATAATCATTAATCAACCATCATTTATTAGTCATATGCACTTACATCCCCATATTTCGATGGTTTATCTAGACGACACTCTTCTTTCCTATATGAATCTGATTGATTTCAGCTCTTGAGGAAGCTCAGCGCGACCAGGGTGCAGCGATTTTTTGGAGAAAAATCGCATTTTATCCCAGAATTGATTCTGACGGGGCCCATTGCGTTGCCTGAATCAATGTGTACAGATAGAAGCCCCAGGAAAAGAAATTGTGAACTATTTTCTCCAAAAATGGGAAATATGAGGATTTATGAAAATTTATGGGAGAAGATTTCCGCAAAATTCTGGGATCATTGATTTTCACTACGGGTTTTATCGCCATAAATCCAATGCTTCCCCCTTTTCAAAGGTAGCCTCCTGTGTCAAAAAAAGGTGGAAAGGTGGATAGTCAACACCCGGCCTGGTAAACTAACAGTTTGCTATTGAAAATGGCCCAGTCGAAATAGTGGATTTACCTATTAAAAATAGTGATTTTCCATAGTTAACGTTAGTTTACCAGAGGATAGTCGTATCCTCACACACTTTCAACAAGAAAATCGGGCAAAAAAAAATTGCGGGTTTCTAACCAACTGACCTATCCATTATTTCATATGGCTGGTTGAGTATCCCAATCTTTTTAGTTTTTATGTTGGTTTTACCTGGGGTGCAGTTCCACAGTGGGCATATGATGATATCCCAACTGAGGGTGATTTCTTACCATGGTTTTCTACCCATTCCCCAGCTGCATCCCCTCTGGTACCTGTTGAATAATCACAAGTTGCCTCTACCCGGCCTGGTAAACGTACGAAAAACGAACTGGAAAGATCCACCATTTTTAATAGGTAAATCCACTATTTCGACTGGGCCATTTTCAATAGTTATGTTAGTTTACCGGAGGGTAAATCAATTTGTTTCTTGCTTAAGTCTAGATTAAACTTAGATAATTGTCTTGCTTATCCAGTTATCCACAATTCGGGGCCCCTCAGTTCTAAGTTGGATTGTAAACCCCTACTTGGTGGTTCATTTCACGAATCGTAAGTGGGCTAGTTCACCCTGGTTGTTTCTATGGGATTTTTGTAGGGGCAATGTCCATGTATCCACGTGGGCTGAACTAACCCATTTGCGGGATGAACCACCAAGTAACTAGGCAAGATATAACTTGAAACATATAAGTGATATAACTTGAAACATGTACTGTAAGTTGGATTGTAAACCAACCTCTAATTCTGGGTATGTTTTAAATCTCTAACCTGAATAGTTAGTGAGTGAAAGGCCACTTTGGGATCATTCCCCGAATCCCAAGCATAATAGTTTGATAGTTTTTATAGTGATAAATGACAACTATAAAACATTATAAAACTATTGTTTATGATAAACCAACCTATAGTGCTATAGTTATTTCGCCACAATAGTTCTATAGTTATGTAGTTCTATAGTTATTTAGTTATTTAGCCATCACTCCCCTTACTAACCATCATAGTTCTATAGTTTCCTATAGTTATTTAGCCATCTCAACAGCAACGTTTGCATAGCATAGCCCTGCACTGCCCTTTACTCAACGGATCGCCTCGAAGAGGAAAGCATCTCAGGTGCCATGTAGCAATCAGTGCCTAGCGGCGCGTCTGACATAAAGCTAGAAAAAACTGATTGATGACTTAGGGTTACTTAATTAATCTTATTTAGTTATAAAGTTAAATTATGATTGATGATTGATGATTCGACTAGCAAATTAATTGTAATAAAACCATGAAATTACTGGTTAATGTCATCAAATGCTTACTAATGTTATCATTAATGTAATCTAAGTTGTCATTAATTCGGTAAATTACCAATTACTTATGTTATTAATTAACATTTCATATAATATAATACAATAAAGTCTTACCCAAAGTTAGATGATTGTATTGATGACCTAGGGTTACTTAATTATACAATTAGATTAATTGGTAAACACAATCATCATTATCAAGTTTATAAAGTAGATTGTCTGGTATTTACCAATTACTTTGGGTGACTTGTGGATACGCCAATTTAAGAAACTCACATATTCATGATTGTATCAATCACATATTGTATTACAGTACTGATTATAACTATATTGATATTAATTATACTTTGAAGTATATTAATGCTTATATTTATACAAATTTATCTGATTCTTACCCAGATCTAACGATCCAAAGTCGTAACACATGGTAAAAGCACGCAGTCCCGCAATGCAAAAATGACTTACCAACAATGAGTTACCCTCCGGTAATCAAACATGGCTGGACATGGACAATCCACCGTTGAAGATCGTTCTGTTCAGTAGTGTTCCCAGCGAAAAAAAACCTCCATTGACATAGCCGCCTTCGAAAAAAATCGGAGGGTAATCTTTGCTAACCCTTCCGTAAATTGAGATAGGGAAAACCTGGGATGAACCCCGGGAAAATGGTATGAAAAAATGCTCGGATGTCCATAGGAAAAATTCAGCAGAATCAGATTCCAAACCATGGGAAAATCAGCCGGTTGAAACACTCTTTACCCTCTGGTTATGACTAACAGTTCGCCATGGATCATGGTTACACCCATAGGTTGGGATATAATCCCTATAAATTGTGCTTATAATTAAATGGTATATATAATCATGATATATCTGGTTGGTGGTTTTAACCATCTTGAAAAATATGAAAGTCAATAGGAAGGAGTATCCCACATATTATGGGAAATAAAAAATGTTCCAGTCACCACCAACCAGATTTTGATAGGCTCTTACGATGGTTTCCAGAGATTATGCCCATCTTCCAAGCAAGGCTGTCAAATACATAAATCGAAATGAACAAATAAACTTCAGCTGCGAGATTTTTAGCATCGAATCATATTCAACCATAATTTTCGCTTACATCCTTATGTCAAGAACATAGCTTGGGATCTGCAAAACTTACAGTTTCTAGAGCAAGCTCCCTACTAGAATAGTGGTGGTTCTGGCCACGTTGCCAGAATGGCTTTCCCTTGTGGAATGTAAGTAACAACCCTATGTTGTTTTGTTGTTTGGACTACTACAGTTCATTTCGCAGCCAGGAAAATAACCTCATGTTTTCTGAGAAAATGAGGAGAAACCATCAGATTTGGGTATAGCCTATTTTCAGAGAGTCCCATATATGCAAATATCATCTCCTTTCATGTGGCTGTTTCCTTTTGGTGAAGACCAGCTGGCGAATGGATCTGCGTCCCTACAAATAATCCATTTGCCATATATAATCCATTTACCAGATATAATCCACATATAATCCCCAAATAATACATCCCATAATATCCATATATGTACGATCAAGATCATTCAACCATCCACATAACTCTCAAATTGTACCCATGTGGTGCTCAACCAACCCCACGATACATGGGTATACAGTATACACGCATCATTCGATCATCAACAGATAAACAATTCAGAATCAATAGAATAACCAGATTGAAGGCAATTTCGGGGATGGTATTCCATGCAAACCTTCATTTATGGTGAGATGGTTCTGAGGTCATACCCGAATCAATAGCTTGTCCTCATACCAGTACAAACCTCACAGATGTGGAACACCCACCATGGAATGGGTTTCACTGAAAATAGGCTACCCCAAAATTTCATAGTGAAGCACGATTTTCCCGTGATTTTCCCCATGTTTCATGGCTATAATTGCGGGGATATACCCTATTTCAAGCAACGGCCTACATTGCCCCAGGACTGCCTGCATGTGTCAGAGTGGAATTGCCCAAGCGTCTCGGCGCGTGCCTCGCAAAGAGATTTACTCTACAGTACTCGGTAAATATATCTACAGGATGGGGCCACCCAGTTATGTTTGTTGGTTTATAAACCATTATAACTCCCATTAACTAGTTCGTTATATCTACCATAAACCAAAGATTTCAGCCATGTATAAGCAACTGAACGCTATGGAACCGGGGCCCCGTCCTGTATGGTTGGATAAGATTCTGACTCCTAAGGCCCTAAGGGTTTTCACATTATATGTATATCTACCATAAACTATGTTCTAAGTCAGGTTATGGAATTGGCTCCTAAGCTTCAGCTGAAGTAGTCTCCAGTACCTGGGGGTGCAGTTCCTCTCAAGTTGTGTGGGTACTGGAACTACTGAGATAAATATAGTTTAATATCAGTTCTATATAGTTCTATACTAATTAACCAACGTATAAAGTTCTAAACATAGTTCTGGGGCCCTTGATTTAAACAACTAATGGGAATGAATTCGCCATGGTTAAGCCTAGATCCACTGCTGTCATTCTTGATTGTGCTTCCAGAGTCTGGGACAGTAGCGCTGACGTTGCTCAGGAGTTTCAGATCTTTTCATCTCGTTGTTGCATCCTCCCTTTCCGCACCAAACGCACCCCCATCCAAACATAGCAATAGCATATCTGCTCAGTTTTCTATCAAGGCCTTAGTGCTTGGTTATATCCACTTATTTTCATGCAACCGCACTCCCAAGTAGAACAACGTAAACGAAGCCTGCTCAAAAAACTGACAAGTGAGATAAAAAAACTACTCTGTCACTAACCTGACATCTATAACTGGTTTATAACCCACCTGGTCTACAATTCTAGGATCATCTCACTCCCGTAGGCGAGTTAGTAAGTGGGGTAAAAAACTCGGGTATCTCGGGTGACATCAAACTTGGCAATGGTTCATTCGATCATTTGATAAGTGGGTCATTAGCATCAATTTCCATTTAAATCTCCACTTAGGTGATGAACTGGAAATTTATGATTTCCATTTGAATGTACCCATCTACCATCTGGTTATGACTAACAGTTTGCCATGGAAAGATCCATCATTTTTAAGTTCGGTAAACCATCTATAAAAGGGCCATTTCCCATGGCTATGTTAGTCATAACCAGAGGGTAAGAATCACAAATTTCCAGTTCAATTTACTAATAACTGGTTCATATATACTAATCTAAATTAGTAACTATAGTTTCCTCATATGGAAACTTAGATTAGTTACTATATACTAATATGTTATATGTAAATATCTATATTAGTAACTAGTTTCCTCATATGACTGGTTCATAATGTTCCCCATTTAGTTTGATGATTTTTCATTCAAATCTGCATTCTTATTTTCCCAGCGACCCGCCATGTCATCTGATGACAGGGACCTATGACTTGGAATTGCTTAAGGACCCCTCCAAAAGTGGAATGAGAAAATCACATCATTCACGCAGCAAACCCAGGTAACTGGGCAATGATATATATATATATATATGTATATGTATATATATTAATATGTATATATATTAATATGTATATTATATATTAATATATATATATGTATATTAGTATGTATATATATATGTATATTATATATATTAATATTAATATTATATATGTATATGTATGTATAGAGTATCCTAATTCTTCTTATTCGTATTTTGGGATGATGTCTACATGATTCTCCCTTGATCCCCATTCAGCGACCACTCGACCTGCAAAGACCAAAGTCCCCGAGGCGTACGTGACCTTCCTGGGAGAGGAAGACATTCTGCGACCTGGGCGTTTCGACATTTCCTATAAAAGGGCCATGTGTTTCAGGAAGCGTTGCGAAAATTTTGCAGGTACCTCCCGATTCCGTATTTTCCGGTAATTTTTCTGAAGGCCGCCATGTTTTAGGGCTAAATTTCAGGGAATATCACCAGAAAATATGGTCAAAAATATGGTACTAATGTACCTCCATTTTAGGGTCCTGAAAATCCCACTGATGTCCCTGTGATCATTGGAATCTTCCGACTTGAAAAACCCTCCATTGGAGTCGGGGAACTTCAAGTGCCACGTTACAACCAGAGGCTTTTGATGTGTTTTTTACATGTGAATCATGTTGTAGCCAGGCAAGAAGATGTTCTATTTTTGATAATATTTCCCAGTTCCTTTGCTTGAAATAGAGTTTCAGCACAAAAACAGTTGGTCTAAGAAAAATGAACACACCTTGGACAGTACTTGGAGTGGGGTTATCCCAGATACAGCTGGCTTATAACTACCTAGCCGTGTTTTCAGCAGTTGCGATTCGTGGAACGATCCTCCAAGTAGGATAGCAAACCCAGAAAGGTGGATTTGCCGAGCACCAAAGATGTTGAGGATTAGAGTCACACTTTTCCTAGGGGGCTCCCAAGATACATAATTGGTTTATAACTCTAGGTTTATCATGTTTTATGGTCTATGCTACTCAGTATCCATTGTATAAGATTATATCAGTATACTAGAATAGTACTGGAATACTGTAGCTAGATTGATTATATAACAAACTCATGCTTTATGACCCAGTACAAACTATCAAACTTTTTTTGGTGGGAATCCAGGAAGCCACATGGGAAAACTCTCCCGCCAGTCGACGCTGAGGATCCACACTTCAAGTCTCGGTGGATCACATTTTTGCTATGCAAATATTGGACGGCCTTGCGTCGCGTCGTCGCATTGGTCGCGTCGCAACGTTGCGAGAAAAAAAAGGACATGATCGAGACATTCTCGGGTCATCATGTGTCATCAAAGGTGGAATACCCTCTGGTAAAGTAACAGTTTGCTATTGAAAATGGCCCAGTCGAAATAGTGGATTTTCGCTATAAAATGGTGTTGATTTTCCATCTAAATCACCATTTTCCATCGTTTTCCCATGAAAAAATGTGATTTTCCCCATGACAATCCCCTTCAAATCTCTTCAAAATCTGTTTTTTAACGGAACAACAATCCACTTGGAGATGATTTACCCATCCATTGGGAAAAAACGTGGCATCAACGGGCCCGTTAATATCAATTGGTCTACAATGTGGGGCCCCCAAACGTTATGTTTATTGGTTTGTAAACCCCATTAACTAGTTCGACATATCTACCAAAAACCATAGTTATTGAAGTTAATTGCACCAACTGAACGCTAACGAACTGGGGCACCACATTGTATAAGTAAACCCAATTTTGGCTAAACCCGGTGTGGAAAGGCCACCCGCCAGGAGCCTGAAGCAACTGAGCAAAGATTGTCCTCACCCAGTCCTGGCTTTTTTTGGGAATTTCTCGGTGAGAACTGGTGGCTCATCCCACTTGGTAAGTAGCTTATAACTTATAGCCCTAGTTACAAGTGGATTAACCCTACCGTATAACCAATATAATTTGCTAAGTGGAAGGAGCCACCAAGTAGACATTAGATTTTGATGGGATTTAAAATGACGTTGTTGGAATGTCAAGATCTTGCTGGCTTTGTTGAGCCAAGGGTTCACCAAAATTTGGGACACAAAAAAGTCATGGATTTTCACCAACCGCAAAAAAGGTCTCCCCCCAATAAACATTGGGTTTTTTTCAGCATCAAAGGATCAAATGGGTTGTATGGAGAGATGGATAGTGGTACAAATTGAGCAGCGAACAGCTAGAGATCACAAATTCTGAAGGTGCAATCCATGCATCACAGAATTTTCACATGCATAGCTTCCAGCACTTAGCTTATAAAAATGTGCCTTTCTTAAGTCGGAAGCCCAGAATCCCTTGTTTTTTCATGACTGTCCGAAAAAAATATTGCCATAGATTTTCTGTGGAAACTCACCTGCAACACTCCTTGGTGTTTGGCACATCCCAACCCTTCAGCATTTTTTAGCGCAGAGTCCTCGGTGAAACTCAGGAAGTCTTGTTCGATCTTTTCCTGCAGGAAGGACCCCCCCTAACAAATGCATACAAATGCAACATGGAACTTCGAAACGGTCGTTTCCAGTAGGAACAGCATTTCAGAAACCCGTTGATTGGTTTACATACTGTTTCAGTGGTATGAGTGTGGGTTTTTTGGCGATCGCTGGGACCTGGATCTGACACGCTGCAAAGAAATTTGACAAATTCAAGAGAATTGAGCCACGTGTTTTTTTCCTTGCTAAACTGCAATACACAAATCTAAATTCCATCATCTGGAAAAAAACACGTGGCTCAATTGAGCGAATTATATCATCCCATCCCGCAAAACAAAAGCCACACACCTATATTCAATGGGAATTTCAGGATCCTAAACTGGAGGTACTGTACCATATAAGGCCATATTCTGTGGGGACATTCCCTTACATAGGCCTGAAAAATAGGCCAAACATATATGGAATCGGTACCTCCAATCAATCGCTTCCTGAAATAGCCACACAGCTATATGAGCCATGGTCAATACTCACTATATGGTTGATGGTCATCCCATCCATAATAAGGATCCTTATAATGGTTATTATAAATCCCTATGAACCATTGGATGACTAGCCCCTATTAATGGTTATTAACCATGAGTATTGACCACAGCTCATATGGATCCTCTACTGAAGCCATGGTTTCTGACGGATGGTTTATGGCATCTGCATGTTGGGCGATGGCATCCTCCCCCATTGGCCCATCGCCGTCGATGCCTTGAGATCCCCCTCGGGACAGAACTCCATGATGATGATGAAGTACCTGGTGCCCCATGGTGCCAACCAACCAACATGTTGCTTGGATACTCAAAAAGCACCATAAATTTAAACGAGTTCGATGTATCTACCAGAAATATACAGACATATTCGTGAAGTTGCTTTGTAAAGCACTTCTGGTTGGTGGTTTCAACCTCCTCTGAAAAATGATGGAGTTCGTCAGTTGGGATGATGAAATTCCCAACTGAATGGAAAGTCATAAAATTGATATTCCGAACCACCGATTAGATATTTCACCATTAACCATTAACCCTATTTAAATCCATGAACCAGCCATTAAAAACCATGAGCACCATCGATTTTCCACCAATAACCATCTGGTTATAGTTGATACAGTAGCAGTTTACCAATCATATATTGTAGATATATGTAGATATATCGAACTAGTTAATGGGGTTTATAAACCAATTTATAACGTTTGGGGGCCCCACATTGTAGTAGCCTCTGGTAATGACTAACAGTTTGCCATGGAAAATAGCCATTAAAAAAACCATGAATTCCATCGATTATCCACCACCAACCAGACTTTTTCTATACTAAAGTCTATATCATCCCAACTTGGCCATCTTGGAGGGTCCAACTTGGGGCCCAACTGCTGGCTTCAGCGTCCATGGGATGTCTATCCAACGCGGCTGTTTGGTAAATCCCCCTATCAATGGAGGTTTGTTTGATGGGAAAACCAACCACTTTGCCATTGAAAATGGTGATACCTATTGAAGATGGGAAAATCATGGAAAATCCTCGAAATGGGAGATTTTGGGTTGCCACGTTCGATTCCTAGATGGCAAATATTCAACTTCAAACGGCCACAAAAATGGCACTTCTTGGGCCTATCTGCATATTATCAGGCTAGGAATTGTATCACCAGGTCTCGGTCAAAATTCGGGTGGAATGAACTCGTTGCCTCGGTGGGGCGCCATTTTTGGTCTCTTTTTACATCTAAAACCTAGCGGACGAACAATATCCAATAATTATGTGGACTCACACGTACCAAAGTAGCCAATCTACCTTTTTTTTGTATCTACCCATTCAACATCCGCTATGTATGGTAGGTAATATCCAACATTGCCAGTAGCAAAGAACCACCGAGAAAAATCCCAAGATATACCGCCCCCCGTGATGTGTGTTGGTTTACATAAGTTTACAAATTCATCTATAGTATCTACCGTATGTACATATATATATATATATACATCAAACAAAATATATATACAAAATATGTTGCAAATCTAGTGAAATTTGCCAACTTACACACCTATCAACTGGGGGCACCCCCAGGTCCCAGGTCCCCCGCCGATCGATTTGCGTTGGACATCAACATGAGGTCACCCGGGTATACCGCTGACCGGGATGATGTAAAATGAGACCCAGTCCTGCTTAGTGAATGGCGTCGATGATTGTGGATTATTCTACCCCATTACCTCCGCTGGGACTCCATTTACCCTCTCCATTTACCCTCTGGTAAACGTTTACATAACTATTGAACATCCCCATTGTTTAATGGGTAAATCAACGATTTCTCAATGGCTATTTTCCATGGCAAACTGTTTACCAGAGGCTACTACAATGTGGGGCCCCCAAACGTTATAAATTGGTTTATAAACCCCATTAACTAGTTCGATATATCTACAATAAACCATAGTTATTGAAGTTATAAACGCACCAACTGAACGCTAACGAACTGGGGCACCGCATTGTGGGATCAAATTCTGGTTTATATTAGCTGAATAACATTCGATGATCCATCGATGGATTCTTCCTGGATTGGAGACATTTGATGACATTTGGCTGGTTGGTGGTTGAGCCCTACCCCTCTGAAAAACGATGGAGTTCGTCAGTTGGGATGATGACATTCCCAACTGAATGGAAAATAAAATTGATGTTCCAAAGCACCAACCAGTAATGGAATGACAGAAGGTTTTGAACACTCAACTGATTTCACCAATACGCATCCACATAAATCCACATGAAACATCCACATTACATCCACATTAATCCACATTACATCTGCGGCAATTAAGATAGTTTTTCACCCAACACTCCTAGGGCCGGGCCACCGCTTGGTGCTGCTTTTCTCTCATCCCTTTTTCGAAACGGGCCATTGCCCGAATCCAACGGTTTTTGGCCGGCCATGTGGCCGTTGTGTCAACTGGCCAAACATAAAGGGTGCTTCCTGATGCTGGGTGTCAACTAAGTCTAGAGGTTTCCATAGTCATGGGGGTACCCAAAAATAGCTGGATGGTGGAAAATTCATGGTTACTATCCGGATGAAAAATGGATGATAAAAATCGGGGTAGCCCTATTTCAGGAAACCTCCAAATGGATATAGAAGATGCAACAAGACCAACAATTGAATTTACAACTACCCTCTAGTAATTTAACTGTGCTGTGAACAATAAGTAAATCATCTACAAATGGGCCATGGCTTCCATAGCTATGCTAAATTACTGTAGAGTACAACTTCTTGCGCAGAAAGCATACTGGGCATGAGTTCCAGCAACCAATGACACTTGGCACATGCAGCCAGCACATTTTGGCGCCAAAAGCTCTTGGTCGGATGACAAGACCAAGCATGACCTGAAAATGACAGTCACTGGATGAGTGGTTTCGGGAAAATTATGGTTTCTTCCTAAAAAAAAGAAAAACCAGATGGACCCGCAGTGACCCACACGACTGTCGGGTGATGTGTAGATATAGAGATACATGATACAGGGATGGGTCCGGATACTAAAGTCTGACTGTTAGAACAGGGATGTGAAGTACAAATCTTCTCTAAACAACATCTCACAGATTGATTCATTGATCAACATTTGAAACCAAAGAGATCGCTTCACAAAGTCATTCCCTTTGCTTGTCAGCCAACGCAGCAGGCCCCGCCATCGCACTGCTTTCACGACGGGCTGGGCCCATTTTTTGGTGACGTCGAGACGTCACAGTCTGGCCGGAGAGGACAACGAACTTCAACATTTTCTGTTTGTTGTAAGTTTAATGGGGATATCATGACGATTTAATGGCGACTTAATGGGGACTGAAATTTATAACGGATTTATAGATGAGTCATATATTCATGTTAGCTAAGTTGGTGAATAACTCCAATACGTATGGTTCATCATACTTACAACTGTAGTTATTGGGCAAAAAAAACAACGTTTCACTGGGGGGGCACCGCATTTTTTTGCTCCGATTGACAACCCCCCCGGAGGCCCTGATGGAGCTTGAACGGCTAATCATCGGTGGTTTCCAACAAATGGGTGTAGCCATAAACGGAAACATCTCATGATTTAACACATGTTCAAGATTTCAAGATGTTCAAACACTCCTGGATTTCTAGGATGAAAATCCAGAGTTTCGGTGATTTTGACATGTTGGTTGCTGAATTGCCCCACGAATCGTAAGTGGCTTAGTTCACCCCAGTTTTTTGAGTGGATTAACTTTACTTATCCCATAGAAACAACCAGGGTGAACTAACCCACTTTTCTTCAATCTTCCCACAGAAACCGGGCCTCACTTGTCCACCTGCGGAGAGAAGCAACCGATGGAAACAACCAATATCAGGCTGACATGAATAGCATCCGCTGTCAAACATACTTGGTGGTGAACTACCCAAGAATCGTAAGTGGGTTATAACCCTGGTTGTTTCTATGGGATGAGTAGGGTTAATCCACTCAAAAAACTGGGGTGAACTAAGCCACTTGGGATTTGTGGAATGAAACACCAAGTAGTGATGGGAAATACCCTACTAAACAGTAATGGGCACTGAAATGGGAAGACAATCAAAGTAATTCACTTGAGTATTTCATAGTCTTTCCCATTGCCATGTTTGCCGACACTGCAGGGTGATAAATGGATGGTTTAAAATCAACTGGTTTTTGTTTTCACAGACCTGATAGTTACCCTCTGGTAAACGTTTACATAACTATGGAAAATCACGAAAATCACCATTTTCAATGGGAAAACTCACTATTTCTATGGTCATGTTCAATAGCTATGTAACAAATTACCAGAGGGTAATAACCATATATTAACCATATATTAACCATATATTAACCATATATTTAATAACCATAGTATAACCATATATCCAATAACAACCATGTATTTTGGGGCCAACAGCACGTTTGGGGGGGGCCAACGTTTGGGGAAGGTTCCCCATATACCAACCATCAGTTCACATCACGTTCTCTGAGGTCATTGTCAGCTAGAAAATCACGTTCGTTGCAAATCATCCTGATAAAGCCCATTGTATATCCATAATATGTACCCTCTGGTTATGACTAGCATAGCCATGGAAAATGGCCTATTTATAGATTATTTTCCCATTAGAAAACTCATTTATAAGGGATTTTCCATGGTTATGTTAAATAATTAGATGGTATATATATATATATACATTACAGCTACTATAGATGGACCATCATAATCATCATATAATATATATTCCATGTACATTATATGCATTTATATGCAATATATATATATATATATCCATATTCACATGTTATATTCACATTTTATATTCCATTTTCGATCCATTATATACATCATACACTGTGTATACATATATATATATATATCATTATATGTCCATTAAAGCTATTATAAATAGATCGTTTTATATCGCCATGCTATATACAATTTTCTGTCCTTTATATATCTATATGTATCTGGGTAAATTAATTGTAATATTTCACTAACCTGAATCTTGCAGCCATTTGCGGGATGATTCCTCTTCTTAATCATAATTCCAGTGAGGTCGCAGTGAGGTCGTGATGAAATTTACCCATGTGTATAATATACCCATCTATATGTATATACCATGATTAACTATATATAAATCATCAACCATCATTAACCATATAAATATGTTAACCATATATGGGTGAATTCCACATATTCCCCATTGATGGAAACCCCCGTCCCCGTCAGATGCCGGTTTTTCCACCTTGGGCCAGTCTTTCAGAGGAAGTTCACCGCAATCCGCAATGACCACCTGATGAG